AAAGCAGGAATTCACAAACTGCAGCAAGTTCCAAACTCTTTTTATTCCTTGTTTTATTTTGCAAAGAGTGTGTGTGTGTGTGTGTGTGTGTGTGTGTTTTGTAGTAGAATATAATGCAACCGAATGAAGAGATAAAGCAGTGGAATCTTATCTTCAAGAATTAAGTGGGAATGATTCATTCTCTCATGTGAAAGCTTTTGAAATAGAAATGTCAAATAGATTCACTACATACAAGTCCTGAAGCTTAGGGTCAATACCAAGTGAAATGTAAAAATAGTCAAGTGTGGGTCTAGGGAACAGAGACTCATTAGTTTATTTTCAAGGAAAAACCTTTTGGATTAGGGCTGATTTTTCTGAGAGTGGAATTTTAAAATAGTTCATCTCCTTGAACTACAACTCAGATCAAATCTTAATGAGATAGATTCTTCGTGTTATTTTGATATGAGATAGATTGTTATTCATGTTATTTTTTTCTTTCTTTTTCTTCTCTTCTTTTCTTTCTTTTCCTTCCCTTCCTTCCTTCAGTGCTTTCTTTTTAACTAAGAATGACTCACATTTCATTTGATACACAACGAGTTATTGTGATGGAACATCTTATTTATTTTTCTTCATGCATGAGATGAAGAGAGGAGGTGGTATGGGTGAGGTGACCCTACACTAGATAAAGGAATCTATGACCTAACTTTCCCCCATCTCCCCGACTCAACACTGGCATGATTGAAGCTCAGCACAATGATACTCAGAGAGATTCCTTCCCCCAAGGAAGAAAGAGGAGGCAGAACAAAAAAGTAAGGAGGAACCAGCTCTGCCCCCTGGGCCTGTGAGAGAGGTGACAAATATTTCCCAGCTGATTATTATTATTATTTAATTTTTATGAATGCTTAATCTGAAGGTTTTAAAATATGATCTCTTAAAATAAATTTATAATTTTATCCAGAATTTCTACTATTCTTTTTAAGTTCAGAGGGGTCTTCCTTCCCTTTCCAGAGATCAAAAAGATAGTCTATTTTCTTCTACTGCTTTACAGTATAAACAAAAATTAAAATTCTAAGCCCCTTCAATGACTGGATGGACCCCTCCTCTTGTCCAAGGGGATTTCAAAGAAACCTAAAAAACTAGTTCAGGCCACGATGGGAAGGGGATATTGGATCTGCCTCTTTACACTCTCCTCTGTTTGGAATTCAGGCCCAACTGGCCAGCATTAACATTAAAATCGATCTTAAGACTAACAAAACAGACTCTCTGTAGCAGTGAGATACCAAACCATACTCTAGTATAGCAACATGACAGAGAGAAGGCCCTAAAAGAAACAGGAGTATTTCACTCCAAAAGATATTTCTTTGACCTGTTTTGAAATGGCCGGGTATAGCCATCTCTTGTGGGGAAAATTCACATTCTGTAGAGAATTCCATTCCATTTCTAGGACTTTTCCTGATCCAGGAGAGATTTAACTAAGAGTCTGGTACCTTTTAAGATTGGATAAGAGACATTTACCATCTATTCTAATACTACCTGGAGGCTTCATCTACAGAGAACCTTGGTTTACACAACCCCCCTTATCTTAAACCCAAGCACTTCTTTCTGCTGACTTCAAATCTTTAGGCAAAACTTAACTCTTTCAACTAAATGCCAGTCAGGAAATCTTTGAATCCACCTATGACCTGGAAGCACTGCCCTGCCCTCCTCACCCACCCTTCACTTCAAGATGTCCCACATTTCCAGGTGAAACCACTGTAAACCTTACATGTATGGATTTATGTTTTTGCCTGTAACTTCTGTCTTCCTAAAATGTATAAAATTCAACTGTAACTCAGCAACAATGTAATTCAACTGTAACCTTGGGCACAGGTTCTCGGGACCTCCTGAGGCCGCGTTGTGATCTTCACATTTGGTTCAGAATAAATCCCTTCAATGATTTTTCAGAGTTTGGCTTTCTTCGTCAACAATGGTTTGAGTTTTTTACGTGCTTGAGTATAGTGGTTAAGAATGCAGACTACCAACATTTGATTACTGGGCTACAATACTTAGTAGCCATGCTGACTTGATTAATCTTTCTTTCTTTTTTTTTTTTTTTTTTTGAGACAGAGTCTTGCTCTTGTTGTCCAAGCTGGAGTGCAGTGGCACAATCTCAGCTCACTGCAGCCTCCACCTCCCAGGTTCAAGCGATTCTCCTGTCTCAACTTGCTGAGTAGCTGGGATTACAGGAACCAGCCACCATGTCCAGCTATTTTTATTTTTAGTAGAGATAGGGTTTCACCATGTTGGCCAGGGTGGTCTCAAACTCCTGACCTCGTGATCCACCCGCTTTGGTCTTCCTAAGTGCTGGGATTACAGGGGTGAGCCACTGCACCTGGCCCTTGATTAATCTCTTTCAACCTCATCTTCCCTATCTGTAAAGTGGAGATAACTATAGCACCAACTATCACAGTTACATAATTTTTTTTTTCCTTTGAGATGGAGTCTCACTCCATTGCCCAGCCCGGAGTGTAGTGGTCTAATTTTGGCTCACTGCAACCTCTGCCTCCCAGGTTCAAGCAATTCTTGTGCCTTAGCAGGACTACAGGTGCCTGCCACCATGCACGGCTAATTTTTGTATTGTTTGTAGAGCTGGGGTTTCACCTGTTGGCCAGCCTACTTTTGAACTCCTGACCTCAAGTGATTCACTTGCCTTGGTCTCCCAACATGCTGGGATTACAGGCATGAGCCATCTCACCCAGCCCTAAACTAATTTTTGTAAAGTATTTTTTAATAGGGCCTGACAGTAATATTCAATAAGTGGTAATCATTATAAATATTATTGATACGTAGCATAAGACTTTAACATGCTTTTTCCCTCAGATGGCTAAATAGCATTATTTATTAATACATTTCTCCTTCACCCATTATATTCAAAATGATTTCAGCCTATATTACTAATACATGCTTGTGTATTCCAGCACCTGAGTCAAGTTTTCCCAGTGATTTGTCAGTGTGTTAATGGGTTTGCATTACATTGTTTAAAACACTGTAGCTCTATAGCATTTAAAATGATCATATAGGTCACTGCATTCTAGCTTGGGTGACAGAGAAAGATGCTGTATCTTAACAAAAAGGAAAATCATATAGAAAGAACGTGTGTAGGACACATTTTTTTTTCCAAAGTGTCATGATTATTTTTCATTTCTTCTCTCTACATGAATTTTAGAATTATAATTAAAAAGTTTAATTAGATATTATAATGAAAATAAATGGTTACATCTCTGAAAGAAATGGTAACTTGATGATATGCAGCTTGATGAATACAGGAAAAATTTTACTTTTATTAGTAATGTAATAGATGCAATTGACTGCCTTTAATTTTTAGATAAGATAACACTTTGAATGAAAGAAGAAATGATGTTGGGATACTGGGAGTGGGAACATCAGAGTGAGAATTTATTAGTGAATCAAATTCATGTCATAAGTGTTTATTCAACTTTTTAGAGAAATGGGCTAAGGTACCATGATCTATTTAGTCAGGTGGAGATTATGCAGTGGCCACCTACAGTATGTGTTTTATGCATCAGCTTTTAATATCTAATATGATCTAGAAGTAACCCAGAGAGACCCTAGATTTCCCTATAAATCACTGAAGAGTCTCAGTAATCGGTGATGAAATTATTTCTAATCTTAGTGTTTACCATTGTAATGGGAATATTTTGTCAACAGTATGATTACAGTTTAAATTACTAATGAAAATTTTTTTGTATTTTATCTTTAAATACTAAACAGTTTTATTTCATGTTTCACAGTTATAGTTATTTATTTATTCATGGGCTCAGGTGATCCTCACACCTCAGCCTCCTAAATAGCTGGGACTGTAGGCATGCATCACTATGCCCAGCTATTTTTTTTTTTTTTTTTTTTGTATTTTTGGTAGAGACAGGGTTTTACTATATTACCCAGGCTGGTTTCAAACTCCTGGGCTCAAGAAAGCAGTTCACCTTGGCTTCCCAAAGTGCTGGGATTACTAGGTGTGAGCCACTGTGTCCAGCTGCCATTAATTTATATCAAGGATACCATTCTAATTACTGACTGAATGCACATTTTTATGTTTTAACAGTAACAATTTTGGTCCTAACAATAATATAAGTGTAAACTAACAGAATATCTGTAAACACTTTAATGTTCTTTAGGAGAGTGGGCCTTTTATTTCTATAATTATGAGACTCTGGTTCCCTCATAAAGTGATTGTCAGAGAATGAGTTAGCATGGAAACCTCTTCTAAATTGTATATAGGCCAGTTAAACAGGCCATTATACACTAGTTGTGTGAGATTATATTAAAAAGAGCACCACAGAATGTGTTATAAAGTTTGTAATTTCATTCTTTATAATTGATACTATGAAAACCAGAAGGTAAAGAAAATACCATTTAGAAGTTCACAGAATTCAGAAGGGCTTCTGTAGAGACCTCTTAATGATCATGTGTGCAGATTCTGGAAGGACTTCAGGATATTTGATGGGTGTTTCAGAAATGGATAAAGGGATGCTTCTGGTTTTGCTCTCTTTAAAACTTATGAAACATTTCAGGGATTCAAAAAGACAGGGAGAAGAACATAGCAATATGGTCACTTACCACTCACTCAAGTAATTTAACATTACAGATATAATTGAACAGTACCATCATTTTTTTTAATGATAAATTTACCAGGTGAAATACAGGATTTGCATATCCTGGAATCTCCTTTTCACAAAGTTTATTCCATCTAATATGTTAATTTTTCCTTTGTTGCCAAAAGGGTGTTAAATGAGTATTATTGATAAAATGCTCTAGGTACATAATTGCCTGATCCAAAGATGGCTAATAATCAGCAAATATGGAAGGCAATTTTAAACAGTAAAAGCAAGATGGTGGAATGTTTTAATTCACTTGAAGCTAATTAACAACTGTCCTAGGCACCAATTCTCTTGACCTCTCCTCTTTTTGAGAAAAATGCTTTTCTAAGCTTAGCAAAGAGCAAAGGGAAAGAGCCACGTTACCTGTCAACACTAAGAGCGCAGAGGTTGAGGACGGTGATCCCCACTGAGGACTTCTGCAAAAAGGGGAACAGCTTGCAAAGAAATACGCCAAATTCATTTTGATCAAAAGGCCAGCGCCCAGCCAGCAGCTGAAAGAAGGAGACACAGTGGTAAGAAATGGTAGAGCTGGCATGGAGCATGTGGGCACTTACATTTCTAGTTTTGCGTCCCAACTTCTAAATTTTAGTCATTGTTCTTTTCAGTTAGCACTGTAGCAAAAGAGTATTACTATTGTTATTATTTTCTTTCACATTTTAAGGCCTCAGCAATTTTTAGTCTGGAAAGATATAGAGAATATATATATAATATATATAATAAGATATAATTATTAGTATATAGTAACATGAATATATTATGATATATATTTAATATATAATTCATACTTAATATATATTAAATATATTATAGTTATATAATACAATTTAATAACAGAAGAGTTGTGCCTTTGATCTCACATCAGCTAGTCATGCTGCCTACTTTTCAAACAGTAGCAAAAGTTTGGGGTTCTGGGAGACAGCTCAATTGAGAAGCAGGCAATGGCTTTTTATCTATGCTTACCAAACCATGTGTAAAGCAAATCATTTCAGTACTGGCATTGGCAGGTTATATTATCTCCTGACAAGCAGCCAAAACTATGAATGAAAGGTGAGGGAGAATATTGGAAAAAAACAAAGTGGTGGAGAAGCTACTAATTTTGGCAGCTGGCTAATAGCTAAAGCCACTTTGAACTTACCTTATCCTCTGCACTTAAGGGGCTGACTCTGCTTTGGTAGATGTGATGTAAGTGATTTTTCCCTATTTAGGCTCAAACGGTCGCCTTACTATACAGACAAATGTGGTTACCTTGATCTGTTTGTAGCATTTGCAGAAAAATCTGTTCTTCCATGTTGACATTTTCCAATCTTGTTTGCAAGGCAAGAGTGGACACCCTCTAGTGGCTGTGATGGGTAGCAAACACAATTTAACAATAGCTACCAGTACTCTGTATTTGTCTAATTAGGTATTATACTAGGAGCATGGGCTTAAATAATAGCTCAGCCACTAAAAGGGGGAAGAAAGTTCCTGCTGAACATATGATGCCTTTTCAAGTGTAAAATGGTATTGATTTCCTTTTTAATTTTTTTGTTTAGTAACTCAATTTAAACTTAACTCACTAGGAAACAGTATCCTACTAACTTGACAAACACGCCTTTTTCTCTTCTTTTGTAACGTTTTTTGCCATGGTGACTCTAAGATAAACTTTGAATTTCTGTTCTACTATTTCCAAAAGATGATGCGAGGTTTAATTTCATGGTCAGTATGGTCCAAACACGAGTCCATTGAAAGAGATTGGGAAACCAGTACCCTGTAGATAAAGAATCAGAACCTATGCATTTTGAGAACTTGGTTACACAGCATAATCTCTCATTCTGTTATTTTGGCTAAGACCCTATAGGACTTATTTACAGAAGTTTTTTCTCTTTAGTTTTAAAGCTTAGTTCCCTTTCTTCTAAATAGTTTTCGAAAAGAACATTTTTCTTCAATCCAATTGTGCCTCTGGTTTCTTCTTCATCTCACTATAAATAGTCTCGATTGGTGTCCTCTCAAAATTTCCTCATAAACTTTTGTCCAAGGACAACCACACAACTCTTCGCACAAACACTGCATTTGTTTCTTTTGGTTTTCATGAAGCTGACAAATAATTATGCCATTGCTAACTGCTGGTTATTGTTGGTTGCACTTGTTTGGTGCAAGTAAAGACATAAAATACTATTTCTGGGATGAATCACCCTATCAAAACAAGAAAACCTGAAAACTACTTTTTATAGAATAAGAATGTAGAATTCTGGCCCAGAATTATAATTCTTCAAAGACCACAGATATGTAATTAAAACAGTGTAGGCACTGTGACGGGATATGCTCTGGAACCATTGAATTGTTTGTTCATTCCCGGAGATTAAGAGGACCCTGATAGCCACATGAATGGATTTCCCAATTCACACATCTAACAATGAGAGAAAACAAAAAGATGTTCTTGCTTAATAAGGGAGACTGTGAAATCATGTAAAGGTCTAAGTGGCGAGTGCTAAGAAAATGATCCAGAAAAACCACAACTGAACATGGATTCTCTGATACTTCCCCTCTCAATTTCCTTTTACATGCTTCCTTAAACTTTTAATTAGGATTAGGTTAGGGTTAGGCATAAAGAAGGACAGAAAAGAAAGACATCATGGAATCAGTGGGCAGCAAAAAGATCATGGAATTGTCTTTCTTTGAGACAAATAGGGGTGTTGGTGGTGGTGGTATTTTTCTTTTTCCTAGGAGTGAGCATTGATTCTTCTTGGGAGTTATAGATAAAGAGGCAGGAAAGAAATCATTGGAGAATGCTATTAGGTGTAATCCCTGTGTAGACTTCCCTAACTTGTAACTCCTTTGTTCTGAAAGGACATATGGGTAGTAAGTATCCAATGCTGCTAGGAGGAAATTAGGCCCCTGCCTCTAGGCAACATCCCCCTTTTTTCCTTTTCCACTCTGGTCCCATGCGGCTTCCTCAAAGAGGCCCTCATTAACTATCTAACCTTAAGTAGAACCTGCTTGTTAATCTCTTCCATGGAAATAGTGTTAGAGCAGTTCTACGTTCAAAGGCTCCTTTCAGCTTGCTTTGTTGTAGCAAAAGCAGGAGGCCTCAAGGAGGCAAACAGTGTAGCTCACTTTGTTTTCTCTTATTTAGCAGAAGCACTTTGGAGCTTCTGAAGGACTACTGGGAATGCATCCTGTTATTTACTAGCACTTAAAATTAAAAATATAATACAAAAGATGGTAAAAATTAAGCTGTATAAAAGCTTATGTAATGAAAGGTTAAGTCTCCTTTCCAGTGAAGGCCCCCAAACTCCCTGCCCAAAGGCAACAACTGTTAATTGCTAAGTGTGTTTTCTTCCGGAAAACATGCTACATACATAGAAACATGTGCCTTTAAAAAAAAAAAAAAAGATAAAGTAAGTGGGAACATATGGAAATAATATCTTTTAGTAACCTATTATGATCTTTTTTTTTTCCCAAAGTAGTTTTCTGGAGAGCAATTCTATTGCTTAATTAAAAGGTTTTGATTTTTAAAAGCATGTTAATGAAATAGAGCAATAAATAGGTAACTGGAGAGGAATAGAGAGGTCCTAGGAGAGGAATAAATAGGTAACTGTTTAGAAGAATACATCCTAGACCTTGGCAAAAAAACTCACTAATTTCATTAATGTTAACACGCTCCTGTCAACGAAAAAAAAACCAAATGAGTCCGACAAACTGACAAGTCGCATTGGTTCAAAGGGTTAATCGGACACCTCAGGTCAGTCATAGCTTATTTTTGCTACAAAAGAGAGTATGTACCTTCATATTTATAATTTTCCACCCTCATATTTATAATTTCCAAGGACATTCATTACACAGTACCTAGCACATAGTAGGTGTTAGATGAATCAATGACCCCAACTCATTAAATCAGGGCAATATTTTCATAGTTTGAAATGAGATCGTATCAATTTTGCCCTGAAAACACATTCATCCTGTAATTTATTTTCTATCTGAAAGTTGTTTATCAGTGTCTCAAAGTAGTGTTCCCACTCTTTATGTTGAATGAAGCCTGCCATTAAGTTGTTTGAGATAGTGCGAAAATTCTGTGCTATTTAAGAGTCTAGGCTGCAGAGAGGCTGTCACTCACTCTTTGCTTGAAGATACTTCACTTTTGGCTGTTGAGACTGCCCACCTTCCTAAGAGCTGCAGGGCAGGCCCTTGGAGGTGAGGCACATCCCGTGATCTAAATGCACATCATATTCTTCTGTTCTCAAGTAGATCATGGAAGAACACCACAGAAAGAATCACGGAAACACAGGAGGCAATCTGCTGAGCAAGGATTTTACATGACTTTGTTCTGTCTCTGCAGATTTTTCTATAATTGAAATATAGTTAAAGCCCCGATCCCCACCTGAAAATGAAAGCACTTCTAACAGCACAGATTAATACAGAAATTTTGCATTTGTGTGGCTGATTTGGATTGTATAAAAATCAACATCATAAAATTGACAGTCTGCACTTTTTAACCTGTCAAAAACAGATTTAGGTAAGAACTTTTACCATATGATACACTGACATGCACCCTGTTTTTAGAATGGATAGAGCCAAATGCAGGATGTACATTCATCAATATAGTTAGTGCAATACAAGATCTCACTTGGTTGGGACCTCTTAAATATAAGGAATATACCTGTTTACATCAGTTTTCTGGAATATACCAGACAACCAGAAAGTAAACAAAAATGTAAGGAGCCAAGTAATTGTGAAATTTATGCCCTAAAACTCATGTGCTTTAGTCTTCAGTAAACTGCCTGAGTCTTCACCACAGGGGGATTTATTCTCACTTTACACACATTGCTGTAAAGCTTAGCTCTCACTGTGCTCTAGCCCATTGTACATCCACAGCTATTCATTAATAGAGACTCTCCAGAGGCATAGTTCTCAGTGTTGCCTGTATATTATAATTATTTTGGGAGTTCTTAAATATCCCAGTTCCTTGGCCATCACCCTAGGCCAGTGCTTATCAACCAGGGAGCAATTTTGCCTGCTTCAGCTGGGGGTGGGTGTGCTTTTGGCATCTAGGGGTAGAGGTTTGGGATGCTGCAAGACATTCTGCAATGTACAGGCCAGACCACCCCTGCCGCAACAAATAATCATCCCACCCAAAATGTCACTGGCGCTGAGGTTAAAAAACTGTGTCCTACTCCAATGAAATTAGATTCTTTGGAGTTGGGACACAGGCATTAGTAGTCTTTAAAGCCCCCCAGGGGATTCCCAAGGACAGCCAAGGTTGGGAGTCATTGCTGTGGAGAAGCAGCTCTCAAGACTTAGCAGCTTCAGAATCCCCAGGAGGGCTCACTGAAACACAGATGGCTAGGCCCCATCCCCAGAGTTTCTGGTTCAGTTGGTCTGGGGCAGGGCCTGAGAATTTGCATTTCTAGCAAGTTCTCAGGTGATGCTAATGCCGCTGGTTCACCAGCCATACGTTGAGGATAACTGCTCTAGAGGCACTATGGTCAGCCTGGCCAACATGGTGAAACCCCTCTACGAAAATTAGCTGGGCAAGGTGGTGTGCACCTGTAATCCCAACTACTCAGGAGGCTGAGGCACGTGAATCACTTCAACCCGGAAGGTGGAGGTTGGCATGAGCTTAGATTGTACCACCGCACTCCAGCCTGGGTGACACAGCGAGACTTTATCTCAAAAAAAAAAAAAAAAAAAAAGTTTGGGGCCATGTATCCTGCATCCCCTTAGGCTCTCACCCAAGTAGTCCCTAAAGACATCAGCACATGAAGTCAGAGTACAATAACAGATGTTCTACTACCAGGCCTCGCCAGCTTAGCACTACAAAATAAGGCTGTTCTCCCCTATATTCAAGATGGTTGTGAACCTGTAAGACTTAGGTTCAAGTACAAGATTGACCTGTTTCTAACTGTGTTACCTTGGGTAAGCCAGTTCTGTTGGAAGTCTGTGTCTGTGTATTTGTTAAATGTGGATAGTTCTCATACTTGCCACAAAGATGTGATACCCATTTGGGGGGCTCAAATGAGATAATGCATATGAAAGAATCCTGCAAACTAAACATATACCACACAAATGTTAGTTATTTTGAACTGCTATAATTTGTAATCATAAACTGAAACATATAATTTATCCACAACCATAAAAAGAAGATAATATAAATGAACTTACGTGCCTTTATCCATTCCAGATGTTAATATCCCCTGCTACTTAGTCCTATTACTTGGGCATTACTGTTGTTATTGTCATGGCATCTTAAAATGGTACAAATAAAACTAAGTGGTATATTTTTCTTTGTGCTAATTTTCCTCTCACCCCATCCTGTGAGGCTGAGGGATTCTTCTCTCCTTCATCTCCTACCCGTCCTAGACAGGAAGGAGGGATTTACAAGTACAGTCTGTAATAGCTGCAAACTTCAAAGCAAAGAAAATCTTCTCTTCCCTTCAATATGAATCATTATAGGGTCACTTGGGGACATGACTGACCAGGTATGGCTTCAAAAACTGAGCTTCTGAGGTTTTTCTTTCTTTCTGGGGGGGGACTGGAATGTAAAAGTTGGTACCTAGTCGACTCAGTAGCAATCAAAAACATCTTCCAACAGCACAGAATGAGGTGATTATAAAGCTTGTGATGCCCAGGACAGGCCATTCATGAGAACATGCTCTCTGGCCACTGCAGATCTCAAAAGAGATACTACAAAATAAGTCACCGTGTGTGACCAAGGATAGATTTTGTTCTTTTGTTATGCTTTTGTTATGTAATTGCTTCAGGATTGAGACAGAGCGTTCATACAAATGTCATAAAAGTATGGCGTCTACCCTATCCCCTATCCATACGCCTTTTCCTTTGAACAGGCTCTTGCCCTCTGACCAGTCCAAGAATTCAGGATGTATGATAAATGCAGAGTAGAGAAGAAATTCTGTAAATGGTTTTGACTGTGGTCTTGAGTGCCCTCTATGAGCTGGGGGATGGAGAAGTCCTCCTTTTATTCAAGACAGCTTGCTTGGCACAGTAGCTCAGAGTGTGGGCCCTGAAGCTGGACTCCTTGGGCAGACTGACCCAAAGCTCTGCTGTCTTCCTGACCTTGTGACATTGGCTTGTTAGTTAACCTCTGTGCCTGTCAGTTTCCTCTTCTATAAAATGAAGATCGTTCTGGTAGCTACCGCAGAGGATTATGGGCCAGAGAAAAGAGAGTCCAGAGGAAGGGCTTAGCAGAAGTGAGTATCTGGAAGTATGAACCACAACCATTGATGGTTCATGGTTATGGTCACCCATGGTCCAAGTCACCAGGTACAGGCTGGTGGCAGGCCATACAGGAACAAAAGACCGTGCTGTCTAGGAACTCAGTTCTAGAAGATAGGCACAAAATAATGGCTCCTCAAGAAGCTCTAAGCAATATTCTTTGGGTGTTCCACAGAAAGAGAGGGTGGTGTGACCTAACAGTAAATATAACAGGCTTGGGTGCCTTTGTCCCCTGGCATGACTTAGACACGTTAATTGTTCCTCTGGAAAACTGCAGATAAAGAGAGTGCCCATGCATATGGTTGATGTATTAAATGAGTTAATACATGAAAAGCACTTATAACAGGAGCTGATCTATAGCGAATTACAAACTTTAGTTCCTGTAGGAGATGGATTCTGGGGGACTGCTTCTTGCTAAAATCCATTTAGATGGAAAGAGATGGAATTGTTGCTACTCACTAACCACATCTTTCACTATCGAATATTCGGTGTTTCAGTTTCTGCTGTGGTCTTAACTTTTTAGAATCTGAAGTATATAAATGTTAATAACAAGGTGGATGAGAGGAAACAAGGAGAAAAGAACTTTTAAAGACAGGGTTTCAGAGCCATGAAGATTTATTTCTTCAAGGAAAGACTGTTCACCCAAGACTTGTGCTTATCACCCCTGAGAGTCTCAGTCACCTGAAGGATAGGAATCAAAAGAAACATCTCTTTTTAATAACTCTCTTTGTTGTAAGAATACCAATCCAAAAGTGAGGAACTTGAGGCTTCTACTTATTTTGTAAGCATACAACCAAAGGATCATTGGATGGTGAAGAATGGAACTTTAAAGAAGAAAAGTTAGGTATCCTCAATATTGAAATTGTAAGGTTTGTGCTGGTTATATGTGTCAGTACTTTAAAGTTTAATTCATAATGGAGAGAAGATTCATGCTAGGAAGAAAAAAACTCTGATTTTCCTGGAATAGAGGAAAGATTGTCCATGTGGAGCCCTGTATTTTGCTGTAACAATGTACAAGCACATTTTGGGGCCTTATTGTGTATCTGGGTCAGAGCTCCCTTTGTAGAAATGTGTGCTCTGACCTGGACATGCAATAAGTCCCCCATTTTTTTTTTTGACTTTCCACAAGACTTCATTTTTTGCTTACAGAAAGTGCTGTGCAGGTTAGGCAACTCTCCATGGCATCTGTTCTCACTGCAGTGACTCAGTAATAACTTTGATTTTGATCCTTGGACACATAGTTTCCCGATCTCTAGGTCAGGTGAAGAGAAAAGCTGGAGGATCACACACTGGCTCTGTGTGGAAAAGTTTAATAGTTGATTTTAATCATCAGTCTCTATGGTCGGACATGGTAGTGCCTATTTAAAAGAAACAGGCAGGCAAAACCAAAGCAGAACAAAGTAAGACGAAGCAGACTAATGGAGATCCCCACATACAGACTTAGGTAGTGGATCTCAAAATCTTATCAGTGATATAGGTGATGATGAATAGGAAATAGGGAAAACAAATGGCATATTTGAAAGCATGCAGCTGATTTAATGATCTAATGTATACATTCTGAAGAAACTTGAGTTCTTTATTGTAAAGTGTGTCATATGGTCACAATTATCCTGAGTGTAGTTGGAAACAATGAGCCAGCAAAGATACGGTATGCAGCATGAGCAAAATAATGCCATATGCGTATTTCAGGAAAAGAAGAATAAAGTGGAATAAAGTTGATGCTCTTGCTGACTTGATAGTAAATAAGGTTGAGGTGATTTTGAATATTTAATAACAGAAATTCATTAGAAAATAAAACTTCACAATTAGTCATAGTTGAGGCATAAAGCAAATTAGACAAAGTCAGGATGGCTGTGTTACTAATCATGTTATGGAACTTCAGATAAGAATGGCGTACATTTTAATAATTCACTCACTAACGTTTTAGAAGCCAGCCTGTCTTCTAGGGAAATGCAATTTGTGATGTTGAGAGTATTAAAACCACAAAAGTTCTGTTGAAATGCAGAGATGCAAGGATGGAACCCACTGAAGGAGAAGTTAGAAATACTTAGCTCCCTCCTCTGCCAAAGAAGGAATGTTAGGCTAGAACTAGATATTCTCTGAATTCTCTGCCAGCTCTGAAATTGTGTGATTATTTTCATATCTGAACTCTAGTCTGTAACTAGTTTCTCTTAAACGGTTATTAACTCAATTTATCCCTAAACTAATCTTTACCCTTCCCTGCTTCCCTGTACTGTATATAATTAGTTTTGCTTTCTCAATTTCTTTCATTCTTCACATGAAAGAGTGCTTTAGTCCTTTTTTTTTTTCTAACTAAAAAGATTAAGGATGTCAGGACTTGGGGAATCCCACTGAAGCTTTGAGACTATTTATTTACCTTGAATATATGAACAATATTTCATTACCCTCAAAGGAAAAGCTAAAATAATAGTAAATTTGTCCAGTGAGCTGTAAGCATCATATTATATACACAATTTGAATTATATATGAAATGTAGAAAACATATCAGTTAAGTGGCTATTTTAAGCTTCCAACCAGGGATCTGTTATAAACAATAATATAGAATTAAAGCTTTTGGAAAAAGTTGTAAAAATTAGTTTGATATTACTTTATGTCTTAAGGTTATTTGGAAATGAAACATTAGGTTGTACTAGTTTAGAATGATAAATTTTTGCCTAGTTTTACTGCTAGTCTTGAGGTTTGATATATATTGTATCTCTACTATAAGGATTTTGTTTATTTTTAGTAGAACAAATTTAAGGTCAAATATATCAGCCTACAGTGACACCAGGTTCCTTTCCTAGACACTTATCTACCCAGAGAGCCTTCTTTTGCCATTTTCTTGAGATTAGGACCAGTGTTCTATTTCCTTTCCATCTCTCTCAAAGGACTAGATACATTTTTCCACATGTAGCAATTACCTAAGAAATATTGATTGCCAAGAAAACCAGTCTTTTAAGGAAATGTTGTAAAGACAAATCTGGTAAAAACTGTTTATCTTAGGTTTTAAAAGTTACAGCATTTTACACTTGTATAGGAGCTAGGAGACCATCTAGATCATTGGTCCCAAACCTTTCTGGCACCAGGGACCAGTTTTGTGGAAGATGATTTTTACACGGACCTGGCAGGGGGGCAGGATGGTTTGGGATTATTCAAGCATATTACATTTATTTTTATTATTATTGCATTGCAATATATAAGGAAATAATTATATAACTAATAATAATATAAAATCAGTGGGAGCCCTCAGCTTGTTTCCCTGTGACTAGATGGTCCCATCTAGGGGTAATGGGAGACAGTGACAAATCATCAGGTATTAGATTCTCATAAGGAATGTACAATCTAGATCCCTTGCATGTGCAGTTCACAACAGGGTTCATACTCCTTTGAGAATCTGATGTTGCTGCTGATCTGACAGGAGGCAGAGCTCAGGAAGTAATGTGAGTGATGGGGAGCAGCCATAAATATGGAGGAATCTTCACTCGCTTGCCTGCCGCTGACCTCCTGTTGTGTGGCCAGTCCCTAACAGGCCACGGACCAGTACTAGTCCATAGCCTGGGAGTTGGAGACCCCTGATCTAGATCACTGGTTCTCTCAGTGTTGTCTGCAGACCACTAGGAACCTTCCGTGAGGTCTGCAAAATCAAGGTAACACTCAGAGATTATTGTCTTTTTTCACCGGTTGACATTTGCACTGTTAGTACAAAAGCAGTGATGGGTAAACTGCTGGTGCCTTCGCATGAATCATGACACTGGCACCAAACTACCTAAAAGTCGTTGTACTCTTCGCCATCACACATTCTCAGGAAAAAGCTGATGGTGCAAAAGAAATAGAACTTGAACAAAGTCATAGGATACAAGATCAATATGCAGAAAACAACTGCATTTCTGCATACTAGCCATGAAAAATCTAGAAACAAAAGTAAAAAAAAATCCATTCAAAACTGTACTAAAAAAGAATAAAATAGTTGAGAGTATATTTAACAAAAGAAGAATCAATATTATTAAGATGGAAATTCTCCCCAAATTCGCCTAAAGGATCAGTGCAATTCCTATCTAAATCAAAAAAACCTAACACATTCAACATAAAATTTACATAAAAATATAAAGGATCTAGAATAGCCAAAACAGTTTTGACAAAAAGTAAAGTAGGAGAACCTATAGTACTTATTTTAAAGCTTACTATTAATATAAAGCTCCAATAATTAAAACAGGATGGTATTGGCATAACAGTAGAACAAAGGTCATTGGACCAGAAAGAAAGTCTAGATACAAGCCCTTCAATTTATTGTCAGTTGAGTTTTAATGAAGGTCCATGGAAATTCAATGAGAAGTCTTCAAAAAATGGTGTTGAAAAACTGAATATCCATATGTAAAAAAATCAGCTTAGAATCCTGCCTCATATCATACACAAAAATTTAACCAGAAAAGATTATAGACCTGAATGTAAGAGCAAAGCCTCTAAAACTGTTAGAGGAAAACATAGGAGAAATTCTTGGTGATCTTCGGTTAGGCAAAGATTTCATAGATAGGACATCAGGGCATGATCCATAGAAGAAAAATTTGATAAACTGGATTTGATCAAAATAAGAATTTCTGCTCTTCAGGCTGGGCGTGGGCTCACTCCTATAATCCATGCACTTTGGGAGGCCAAGGTGAGCAGATCACATGAGGTCAGGAGTTTGAGACCAGCCTGGCCAACGTGGCGAAACCTCGTCTCTGCTAAAAGAACAAAAATTAGCCACGTGTGGTTGTTCATGCCTGTATTCACAGTTACTTGGGAGGCTGAGGCACGAGAATCACTTGAACCAGGGAGGCAGAGGTTGCAGTAAGCCAAGATCACATCACTGCACTCCAGCCTGGGTGACAGAGTGAGACTCCATCTCAAGAAAAAAAAAACAAAAACAAAAACAACAACAAAAAAGGTTGCCCTTCAAAAGACATGAAGAAAATAAGAACAAATCCAGTAACTGGGAAAGATAATTGAAAATCATACATCTGATGAAGGAGTTCTGTCTAGAATATATAAAGAATTCCTATAACTAAAATAAATACAAATAACTTAATTAAAAATGTGCAAAGGATTTATATAAACATGTCACCAAAGTAGATACATAAGTAGGTAAGGGCACAGAAAATGCTCAACATCCTTAGCCATTAGGGGAAGTGCTAGTTAAAATCACAATGGGATACCACTGCACACTATTAGAATGGCTATAATGAAAAAGACTGACAGTAATAAGTATTGGGGTGAGGATGTGGAGAAATTAAAACTCTCATATAAATCTGGTGGGAATGTAAAATGGCACAACCATTTTTTGATGTTGATATAATCTATCAATATTATTATATTTCCTCAGTTTCACATATACTAATTTGTATGTATTTAGCTCTATGCAACTGAGTAATATGTGTAGGTTTGTGTATTTGTCACCAGTCAAGATACAGAACAGGTTTATCACCACAAGGATCCCTTTTGATGTCCTCTTCTACCCACATTTCCCTCCTCTCCCCCTGCCATTCCTAACCCCATTAATCTGTTATCCATTTTTATAACTCTGTCATTTCAAGAATGTTATATAACTGGAGTAATGTAGTGTGCAATCTTTTGAGATTGGCTTTTTTAACTCAGGCTGGTTCCCTGGAGATTCATCCAGATGGTTGTGTGTATCAATGGCTTGTTTCCTTTCATTGCTGAAGAGTAGTCTCTGGTAACATGCTTGGTTTGACCACTCACCCATTGAAGAACATCTGAGTTGTTTCCAGGGTTTGGCTATTACAGGTGAAACTACTGTGAGTGTTAATGTACAGGGTTTTTTTTTTTCCTCTCAAAATAAGGAAATTTGGCTTTTTATTCATTTTAAGAGTTTCTGTAGTTGACTTTTTTTCTTACTATGCTGTTCTTGAATCTGTACTACCTCAGCTCCTCAGAGATACAGCAAGGGCAGAGAGTCCTCATGTAAAAACCATTTCCTAATTTTCCATGCTAAAAGCTAATATTTAAGAGAAATCCTCTTAATCCTCCAGCCCTTATTCCCACTGTGAATAATCTGGTTTAATACAAGTTAAGTCTTTAAATAAATTTGTTCTTTCTCCTCAAAAAACACTGAAGAAAGTTTACAATAATTATAGGTTTAGAAAATTTACCAAGAGGAAGGAAAGTCTTGTCACTTAACCCCTATTAACTTAATGTTGTTCAAGCCTTCCAGTATCAACACGTTTTGCTTAGCATCGCTGTTAGTTGTTTCACTAACATGCTGGCTAGGAGCTGTCTTAATCACTCATTTTTTCTCCTTGATGATGTCTGTACTCTGGCTTCAGCTCCCACGTGTTTTTGTGGATCTCTTTTACATTCTGAAAACCTATTTCTTTTAAGAGTTCCTTTAGGTTCCACAGATTGTTTTGTGATGTCCACAAAGTCCTTAAAATGATAATACTGATGTTTCTCAAAGGCTGAAAATAGCATTTCTGAAACATGTTGTTTATTAGCTGGAGCTTGCTTTCCATCTGCTTTCTTTTTCCTTTCATATTCAATATTGTATTGATGATTAGCAACAGGTTCGAAACTGGCTGTTACAACTTTGTCCAGTTGTCCAGTTGTTGTGATAGCCTTACAGGTTTGGAAGATTCTACTATTTGCAATCTTTTTAATCTCATGTAGTTTTCACTGGCAGCTGGTTGGCATCCAGCTCTTTGTACCACTGTTCCTTCCAAAGACAGCTTATATGATGAACCCTCAGTAAATATTGCTAATATCTGTCCTCCAACATGTTGCAAGACAAATGGATGTTTTTATGGGCACTGACTGAAGCTGCTTTTTCACCAATGTCATGAATATTTGCTAGATCTTCATTCAAAGTAAATGACACCCCAGTCCTTCTTTGAGTCTTGGCAATCCACAGTTTCCCAACTTCACTTCTTCCAGGGCCTTTAGCTTATTACCATGACAAATATTCAGGAAACTGCCAGGATACTGGGAGCCCCGGGAAAGAGCGATGTACAGGTTTTTGCATTAATATAATTTTCACTTCTCTGGGATAAATGCTCAAGAGTGCAACTGCTGGGCCTTATGGTATTGCATATTTAGTTTTATAAGAAACTGCTGGCTAGGAGAGGTGGCTCACAACACTATCAGAGGCTGAGGTGGGTGGATTGCCTGAGGTCAGGGGTTTGAGACCAGCCTGACCAACATGGTGAACCCCATCTCTACTAAAAATACAAAAATTAGCTGGGCATGGTGGTGCATGCCTATAATCCCAGTTACTCCCAGGAGGCTGAGGCAGCAGACACTCACTTGAACCCGGAAGGTGGAAGTTGCAGTGAGCCAAGATCATACCATTGCCCTCCAGCTTGAGCAACAAGAGCGAAACTCCATCTCAAAAAAAAAAGAAAAAAGAAACTGTCAAACTCTTTTCTAGAGTGGCTCTCCATTTTGTTTCTACTAGCAGTTTCTCTTCGTCCTTTCCAGAATTAGGTGTTGTCACTAAAAAATAAACATTTTAGCCATTCAGATAGGGTGCAGTGGTATCTCACTGTGGTTTCACTTACATTTCCCTAATGGCTAATGATGTTGAAGTTCTTTTAATGTGTCTATCTGTCATCTACATGTGCCCTTCAGTAAAATTTCTGTACATGTATTTTCTCCAATTTTTATTTGGATTATTCATTTTTTTTTTAACCATTGAGTTTTGAGAATTCTCTATATATTCTAGATAAACTTTTTTTTTTTTGAAACAGGGCCTCACTCTGTTGCTCAGGCTGGTATGCAATGGTGCGATCTCAGCTCACTGCAACCTCTGCCTCCTAGGTTTAAGTGATTCTCCAGCCTCAGCCTCTGGAGTAGCTGGGACCACAAGTACATGCCACCATGGCTGGCTAATTTTTGTATCTTTTTGTAGAGAAGAGGTTTTGCCATGTTGCTCAGGCTGGTCTTGAATTCCTGAGCTCAAAGTGATCTGCCTGCTTTGGCCTCCCAAAGTGCTGGGATTACAGGTGTGAACCACTGTACCTGGCTGTTTTCTTTTTGTGCTCTTAACAGAGTATTTTATAGAGTAAAAGTTTTTAATTTTGATGAGGCCCAAAATTTTTTTCAAAAATTAAAATCAATTTCAGGCTGAATTTACACTACATGAAGTTATAAACTAAATAAGTGGAACAAAAGTTATGCCAGTCTTAAAATATAAAGTATTTCAGCTATTAGGATAAATACATATTTTTGAAGACATACTTGCCATTCTGTCATCCTAGATTATTTCCAAAAAAGCTACAGACATGTTATCACATGACATTAACACACAGTTGTCACCGTAAAATTGTCATTCAGAACATCTGTCTCAGTCTTCAACTACTGCCTGAACCGTAGGAAAGTCTGGGGTGAAGTTTGGATATTGGCTTCTGGGTTTTTTTCATTCTGATCCATGTCAAAAAATGGGAGTCGAAACTGTTTGGAAGTTAGCTACTACAATTCATAAATTGGTTTTCAAAACTGTTATATTTGGAAAAAAGTATAATTCTTCAGCCTCAATGTACAGGCTTATCTTGGTTTCAACTTGAAATATTGAAAAGCTGTTCAAGTTGAAGACAAAAATAATTTGGTTTCATTATGAGTACTTTTTTGATATATAATAGACTGGGAAATATTGACATAAATGCTTTATAAATCCTTTTTCTAATTATCAATAGTACAATAATTAGAGTTTGTATATTTGATAATTTTCAGATGTGTAAATTCTGAAATAATTTAGTGTATAGAATCCACTGACAATCAGTGATTGCCTCAGTAGAAGAAATATATAATTTTCTATGATACTTTCCTTAATTAGTATCCTCTTCATTTTGGGTAAAATGTATACTTTTGCAAAAGTAAATGACATATTAAAGTATTATTGGGCATTTGATTCAGTGACCCAATACATTTTCCAAAATTAGTTTTCTATTTTTTTTACCATTTTTTGTAAGCAATCTTAGTGTATAGGAACAAAAAAAAGACTTCCTCCCTGACATTTTCTGTTTAAGATAATCTATAGCAAAGAGAAATACCTAATCTGAAAATATGTTTAGGCGGTGGGGAGATAGGGACTCCTACATTGCTGGTGGGAGTGCAAGACAGCACGATTATTATGGGGGACAATTTGGTAATATCTGCCAAAGTAATACAGACACTTGAGACCTATGGCACAGGAATCCTATGGGTGGGAATTTCTCATATAGCTGTACCTATACATGTAAACATGACATGCACATGGTTACATTTGTGGCATAGTCTGCAAAAAAAAAAAAAAAAAAAAAAAACCACTGGAACAATTGATTATATAACCCACTCTCCCACAATGGGATACTATGAAACTATTTTAAAAATGAGGCAGCTTTTTATATATTGATATTCAACGATCTCCAGTATATACTGTCATTGAAAAAAGCAATGTACAGAACATTGTATAATAAAAAGGGAGAGAATAGAAATATATAATCGAATTTTCTTTTATTTGCATGAAGAAACACTAGAAAGATACAGAAAAAGCTTTTAAGGTGATTCTCTATAGAGGGTGGAGTGGGGAAATTTGGTGATCAGGACTGGTCAAAGAGGAACTTCTATATATACCTTTTTGTATTTTCTTGATTTTTGATCCATTTGAATGTATTTCCTATTCAAAACATTCTATTTTCTTGATTTTTGATCCATTTGAATATATTCCCTATTTAAAACATGAAAAGTTAGGATTTTCTCTAATTTATTGAATAGCAAAGGCATAAATGTGTGAGAGTGTACCCGCTACTAGCTTGGGAACTGCCCCTGCACAGGCATGTTTTTTAGCAGAGAAGAGGGAGTCTGAACAGAATGTGGCATGTACCAGGGATCACAACCAAAAAAGTAATTGAAGGACAAATATTGAGCCCTAAGACACTTGCTTTTCTCCACTCATTCATTTATCCAAAATTTCTGACTAAGAAAAATACACTTCAGTGTGTCTTCAGTTTTAATACCAGCTTTTTCTTCTGTGTCATTTCCACATAGAAACTAAATGTTTATCACTTCATGAGGGTTCGTTAGAGCTATTGCAAAAAAATGAAGAATTTCAGAACCACAGGAGAGATGGGCTTTGGTTGTAGATACTGAGAGGCTCTTACACCAGCCTGCATGAAGGACTGATCCGAATGATTCCTCTGCAAAAATCTTGAATAGGTCAATGTTCTGGTTCTTCAAGCTGCTTTCATAGTTGGAACTACAGATGTTGACTCCCTGCATTTGGAGAGTCCATGCTCCCTCCCTTTCTTCCTCAAATATGTATGAAATGTCTTCTGGGTGCTGGCAGAATGACCTGGGTGAATACTAAGAATGGGTCTTCACCACCCAACTCTGCTTTCTTTCCTCCATCCTCTGTAGATCTCCTGTTCTTTCCTCTCAGCTTTTTTTTCCCCCTCCCAGGCTGGAGTGCAGTGGGGGCAATCATGGCTCACGAAACCTTGACCTTAGCTGGGATTGCAGGCACGGCGCCACCACACTCAGCCAATTTTTGTATTTTTTGTAGCAATGGGGTTTCATCATGTTACTCTGGCTGGTCTCAAACTTCTGAGCTCAAATGAGCCTATGGCCTTGGCCTCCCATTGTGCTGGGATTAAGGCGTGAATAACCGTGTCTGACTGCCAAAGGTTTGGAAAAATCTAATGTAAACAGAGAACATCTGTGTCACAAAAAATAACATGTATACATACACACATATACCAAGTGTTAAAAAATGGAATACGGGGCCGGGCGCCGTGGCTCACGCCTATAATCCCAGCACTTTGGGAGGCCGAGGCGGGTGGATCACGAGGTCAAGAGATCGAGACCATCCTGGTCAACATGGTGAAACCCCATCTCTACTAAAAATACAAAAATTAGCTCGGCACGGTGGCGCGCGCCTGTAGTCCCAGCTACTCGGGAGGCTGAGGCAGGAGAATTGCTTGAACCCAGGAGGCAGAGGTTGCGGTGAGCTGAGATTGCGCCATTGCACTCCAGCCTGGGTAACAAGAGCGAAACTCCGTCTCAAAACAAACAAACAAAAAAATGAATACGGAATTTTTCTTATCTTATTCCCCACTTTCCCCTTTGTCTGTGACATGGCCTTTCTATTATCAAAGAAATAGTTCCTGATTTTTACAGCATAGAGATAAGAAAATTCATCTGTTTTTAGTTAGGATCATGTAATTCAATTGGACCCTCCTAATAAATATAAAGTGTTGTGATTTTCTGACTACAAGTGTGTAAAGTTTTATCTTTAAGATCCTTAGAGGCTGGGCCCAGTGGCTCATACCTGTAATCCCAGCATTTTGGGAGGCCCGAGGTGGGTGGATCACCTGAGGTCAGGAGTTCGAGACCAGCCTGGCCAACATGGTGAAACCCCGTCCCTACTGAAAATACAAAAATTAGCTGGGCATGGTGGCTGGTGCCTGTAATCCCAGCTACTCGGGAGGCTGAGGCAGGAGAATCACTTGAACCCAGGAGGCAGGGGTTGCAATGAGCCAAGATTATGCCACTGCACTCCAACCTGGCTGACAGTGTGAGACTCCATCTCGGAAAAAAAAAAAAAAAAGACTTTTAGAGAGTAATTATATTTTTGTATGAAATTTCCCTAAAATAAATGAAAAATCTTCATAGTCTCCTTTTCTATTTTAGTTTTTTGAGTTAGAGTCTTGCTCTGTCACCAGACTGGAGTTCAGTGGCATGATCGTGGCTCACTGCACCTCTGCCTCCCGGGTACAAGTGATTTCCCTGCCTCAGCCTCCTGAGTAGCTGGGACTACAGGCACACACCCATGCCCGGCTAGTTTTTCATATTTTAGTAGAGACGGGGTTTCACCATTTTGGCCAGGATGGTCTCAATCTCCTGACCTCATGATCCGCCCACCTCAGTCTCCTAAAGTGCTGGGATTACAGGTGTGAGCCACCGCACCTGGCCTCTTTTTCTTAACTGAAACATAAATGGCTACCCAAAAATCGGACCACTTGGTTTAGTGCTGCTTTTAATTACCTGAAGGACAATGTATTGAATTTCCCTAAATGTGTGACAAAGAGTTTAAAAATTGTTCAATTTTGATTAGAAAACACATGACTTGTGGTTGTCAAGACCTCTCATGAGACCAAAGTTCCGATGTTTACTGACATAAGTCGAGAAGATGAAGAGAGAAGACCTTGGTTGTTGTAACTGATGTTGGTTGTCAGCTTAGGAATAGGCCTACTTTGTGTCATTTTGCCTGGTGAGATGCCATGAAATGGACCCTTCATTATTTATTTATTTTTCAAATAAAAATAATGCCTTGAGGCTGAATGTGGTGGTAGCTCATGCCTTTAATCCCAACACTTTGGGAGGCCAAGGTGGGAGGATCACTTGGGTCCAGAAGTTTGAGACCAGCCTGGGCAACATAGTAAGACCCCATCTTTACATAAATTTAAAAAATTAGTTGGGCATGGTGGCATGTGCCTGTAATCCCAGCTACTTGAGAGGCTTAGGTGGGAAGATTGCTTGGGTTCAGGAGGCTGAGGCAGCAGGGAGCTGTGATTTTGCCACTGTACTCTAGCCTGGGTAGTAGTGAGGCCCTTTCTTAAAAAAAAAAAAGAAAAAAGAAAAGAAAAAATGTCTTGGGAGGTCAAGTGATTTATTCAACATCAGTGGCAAACCATTTTAAAAAATAAAATATATTTTGATTTCTTGAGATTATGCCCATTTATTTTTGAGGTTAAGGGATTAGCCACTTAAACATATCAAGGATTATGAACTATCTGGGGACAGAGGCTCATGCCTGTAATCCTAGTGTTTTGGAAGACTTAGGTAAGAGAACTGCTTGAGGTCAGGAGTTCAAGATCAGCCTGGGAAACATAATGAAATCCCATCTCGATTAAAAAGAGAAAAAGGTTATGAAGTCTTATTCACATTTAGGAATTTTCTGATCTTGAGCTTTGACTTTCCATAGGACCAAGTGGAGGCAGATGAGAGGCAGGGGCAGGGCAGTTGGTGAGATGCCACCAGGCTTGACAAACTTTTTCCGTAAATGCCCACAGATAGTAAATATTTCAGGCTTTCTGGCCCATTTGGTGTTTGTTGAAACTACCCTCAAAAGCTGCCATAGAAAATACGTAAGCAATAGGTATGGCTGTCTTCCGATAAAACTTCATTTACAAAAACAGGTGGTGGGCTAGATTTGGCCCACTGAGTGTTGTTTGCTGGCCCCTGGGTGAGGGAATCAAGCAGGAGAAAGCAGCAGTGCTTGAAAATGGGCTCTGGAATATCACCTTAGTGCATACCAGTCCCTCTACATTGACTTCCTTTTGATGGTACAGGAGCTGGAGATGATTCTGAAGTTGCTCCATAAAATTAATCAAAATATTACTGTGGAGCTATTACCCCAGAACAAAATGCAGGAAAAGTGTCAATGACTCACTTATGTTTAAACTCTTATACATAAGATTGCAAAAATCCAGTGCTCAGACATTTCACAGAGTTCTGAATGCCTTCCTGGGAGTATATAGTATTTACATTGTAAGATGGTTCAATTTCATAGGTGATCAGTGGATTTCCATAAATAAAATTTCTTTTTGGGATGTTGCAAATGCAAATTTTGCTGATGATATTAAACAAAATTTTTCTTTTAGCTCTGTCTTCATGTGTTCTAATCTGGCAAATTTCTAATAACAACCCTCCCTACCCTAGCAATCTTGTATTAAGATGCCAGTTTTTCTACTTTCAATGAACATTTTTAGAGGTATTTCAAATGAAAAATAGTATCTTTGTGTTCTTGGGTTTCAAAAAGTCCAAGAGAATACTTGAGTATAAAACTCTGCTGGTATCCAGGCTAACTTTATTGAATATTTGCTTGTATCCTCAAACAGAATGTGAGCAACTTGAAGGCATGGTTATCCTAGATTCCTCTGTGTTTTCTATAGGTGCTTAGTCAATGTGTGAGCTGATTTGGGAATTATCCATTATGAAGGCAGATAATAGATTTTCTTGAAAGGCAAATAATTACCATGGACCAGGTTCATACACAGGCCATACAGGTCTTTAAACTTTTAGAATTAAAAAAGAATTCTTGGCTGGGCATGGTGGCTCATGCCTGTAATCCCAGTCATTTGGGAGGCTGAGATGAGAGGATTACTTGAAGCCAGGAGTTTGAAACCAGCCTGGGCAATGAAGCAAGACCCCATCTCTAAAAGAATAAAAATAATTCTTCTACCTAGTTCTTTTTTTTTTTTTTTTCTACCTAGTTCTTAATTCTGTACCACACCCTAGTTTAATTGTCCAACATTACTGAATAGTAAAATATAAAAGGGTTATGATCAGGAAAAATTATATGAGAAGTATATATTTATTACGTGGCTATATATGTTGATACATAAATATTGCATATATCATATACACATCTATAGGTTTCTATATCTATATAGGTACATAGATATTCAACATGTATGTACACAAAAAAGATGCATAGAATATCCACAGCTGCACTATTCAGAATAGCTCAAAACTAGAAACTATTTAATGCCCGTCTTTAGTAGAATTGATAAAGTGTGATTTTCACACAGTGAAGTACTATACAATAATGAGAACGATTGAATTACAAGTGAATGCAACAATATGGATGACTCTCACAAACATAATGCTGGGTAAGAGAAGCCAGACAAAATGCATACAAGCATCATAGGATTCCACATGCACAAAAACAGGCAAACAAATTCATTCTGTTAGAAGTCAGGAAAGTAAGTGGCTTAAGGGTTAGTGGAGTGACTGGCAGACTTCTGGGTGCTGGTAATGCTCTGTTTGTTGATCCTGGTTACACATGTTCATTTTGTGAAAATTAACAAAGCTGATACTTAGGCACATTATTCTGTATGTATGCTATATTTCAATCACGTTTAAAAAACTCTCTCTTTTTTTTTTTTTGAGATGGAATCTTGCTCTTTTCATCAGGCTGGAGTGCAGTGGTGCAATCTCGGCTCACTGCAACCTCTGTCTCCCAGATTCAAGTGATTCCCCTGCCTCAGCCTCCTGCGTAGCTGGGACTACAGGTGTGCGCCACCATACTCGGCTAATTTTTTGTATTTTAGTAGAGATGGGGTTTGACTATGCCAGGATGGTCTCGATCTACTGACCTCATGATCCGCCCTCCTTGGCCTCCCAAAGTGCTGGGATTACAGGTGTGAGCCACTGTGCCTGGCCTAAAAAACTCTTACATGATATAACATAACCCGAATTTTCATAGATTTAGCTTCTATAAACAAGTAAAATTTGTGGAAACAATGAAAATATGTGGTGAAATACTATACTTATGACATAAATGACACCATTTGAAAAGAGAAACTGCTTTATTCTAGATATTTCTATTTGGTGAAAACTGAACTTTAAATCTTTTTTCAAACTAAAAGTTCACAGTGGTGAGAGATTTTTTTTTTGTACAGACATTCTGCAAATTTCTTTATGTGATGTAAAACTTATGTGGGATGAGGTGTAATGTGTTATTCAATAGTTTCTTAAGAAACATGTATCCATTACCTTTCATATTTTGATAAGCAATATTTTTGACATTGAAAAAATGCTCAGTAATGTTTTCTTTATTTGTTGCTTTTAAAATTAGGAATTAATGAAATTCATTATGCATTAGATTTAATGGCACTATTTCACAAAAGTTATACTTTATATGCAAATCTTTAAAAATTGAGGATTCCTGGCTTCTTTCTAATGATCAGTTTAGACATATCCACGAATGTTATCTCTTATGCTTCCACACCCTCCTTTTAACTCCTGTGCATCCGGTAAACACCCGGGGAGAAAGGTCTAGAAATGCAACCTCTAGCTTTATCAGTAAAGCCTGATGTTTCTATCCTAATTGAAACTATGGGCTAGCCATAGGCATTCATTCTTTTATACTGTCCACAAATTGCCTCGCCTTTCAAGTGACAACTAGATGAGCCACCCATTTGGCAAAATGCATTTCTCTGAGCAGATGTGTCGTGGCAATTAGTACATCAAATAACTCAATCTTTCCCCTCAGTTTATTTATTTTTTATTTTCTGGCTCTCCTCCTGTCAGTTGACCTTACTGACATGACAATGAATACAGGCTACAGAAATCCTGTTCACCAGATGTCCCAAGGCCATCTGTAAGATTTACAATATAGATGCTATTTTCGAGTGCAATCTCTATTATACACGTTTTCTTTACAATGTGTTACTTCTGTCTTAAAGAAGGAACTAATGAAGCTGTTGGATTTAGTGGAGAAGATAAAAGGGAAAGTTTTTTTCTTTGAAAAGTCTTTGAAAGTCTATTAGTATTAGGGATGACATTTTGGTAATTACAAGGTTTGTCTTATGAGGTGTGTGGAAGAATAGAATGGCAGGCTGGCTAACACCACAGCCTCTGGGATCAGGCTTGATCCAAATCCTGGATCTGCCATTTCTAGCTGTGTGACTTTGAGGAAGTTACTTAACACTCTTGCCCTTACTTTTTTCATTTTAAAATTCAGGCAACAGTAGCATGTCATAGATTTGTTGGGAGGGTCACATGATTTAGCTTGTCATAGAGTAAACACTATGCTTTAGGTCATACCCTCATGTTCTATATTAGTATATGTAACATATTTTAAGATTGAATACTTTCCCTTCATTGATTTAGAAAATACTTTTCAACATAGTAGCCAACTCCTGGGCTCAAGCTATCCTCCCACCTCTGCTTTCCTAAGTGTTGGGATTACAGGCATGAGCCACCATGCCTGGCCAGAATATTCCTGCTAGAATGTAAACCAGATCATGTCACTCACCTGGACATAACCTTTCAAAAACTTCCTATCTCATTCAGAGAAAGAAGTCAAAAACTTTTTAAAGGTGTATAGGTTTTCCTTGTTTACCCAGGACAGTCCTGGTTTGTGCCTACTGTCCTGACATAATTAATGATAGTGTCTCCCTTCACTCTCAGAATTGTCCTGTTTAGACAATAGATGATATAGTCACCATACCATCAGGGCCTAGGTTTTCTAATTCTCCCCTGCTCTTGCTCCACCCTCATACCCTTGTGATCTTGTTTGCCATTACTCTCTCTCTCTCTCTCTCTCTCTCTCCCACTCAACCACCAAGGCCTCCTTGCTCTTCCTTTAACTCTCCGGGCACATTCCTGCCACAGGGCCTTTGCACCTGCTATTTTCTCTAACTGGAATGCCCTTCCCTAATATAGTGTCATGGTTTGCTCCTTCGTCCCTTTTAAGTTTTTACTCAACTGTCACCTTATATTGAGGTCACCCACTCAATATCCCATCTCTCTTCTTTCCATTCCCATTGTACTTATCTCCTTAGCACTTATCTTACAGACTATGTATTTATTTACTTATCTCCCTTTTTGTCTTGCTCTTCTACCAGAATCCACAAGGGCAAAGATAACTGTTTTGTTTGTTGATATTTACCCAATGTCTTTATTGAATAAATGAAGACCAGTTGGAGAAGAAAGACCTAATAACACTGAGTAAACAGGTGGTGAATGAGTTGCCATCTCTATTACGTTCTAGTATAAATTTGATCTAAAATAACAGGCGTCTCATGTTTAGGGCAAGTATGAGATGCAAGATTTGACTTGCTTCCTTTCTTGGTACTCATCTCCAAGGAAGTAGTTTTAAAAGTTAGAATGTCAGTAAAGCTCTTAGAAGTGTTTAAGTTCTGAGAAGTGACCTCTAAATGTGCAAATCCAAAAATAATATTAAGTCTTTCTGAGGCCACATTTGATTTTAGGTTCCTGAGCTCAAGAACATTGAGGGCTTCAAACCGTCCACATTTATTTATTTTATTTTTTCCAGATTGCTTTTCTGCAAAAACACACCAAATTTAAATAGATGATTCTGAGCATGCAGTTTTGTATAATATTTGATGTCCAAATTTAAACCTAAGTCTACCAAAAATTAATGCCAAATGATACATTCAGTTGTATTATTAAATTTAATTTCAACTATTAACTTTTAATCTTAGGACAGTTTTTCCAACAAAAACTAGATCTAGTTAAAAATAAAATTGTAGCTATAGAAAGCAGTAGTTCTAACTCCCAAGAGAATGTGGTAGATCCAAAAGGCGGTTGTAGAATTTCTGGCAGCATATCAAATTTATTTTGATGGAATTTCTTAGAATAGTGTTTATTTAACCACTCTAGTCTCAAACTCAACTTCAGAGACAACAAACTTGATTCCCCAGCCCCTTCATTTTAGTCTGCACATTCTTTGTACTAACTGCACACACTATGTATAATAATCAAGCAACTCACAAGACTACCCTATATAATACTTCAGGATAAAATGGCCCAAACTGCTTTTATTGATCAGAATGCTGAAATCAGAGCAACATTTACACACACACACATGCACACAAGCACGCAAAGGCACATACAATGTATCACGTGAAAATTCTTTTTTTAAACCTAAAACTTTCCTGCATCATTATTTTATGTTAAGTTTAGAATACAGCAAACTCTTCCAGTGAGCTAAATGAACTCCTTGATGGGAGAATTATCGACAGCCATGAATCTATTTACATCTCAGCACTTTACTAACAAGAACGGGACTGAAACCAGCTCTTCCTCCTCAGCCATGGGAACAGTCTCGCAGTGATGGACGGTTTCCATCCTCCATTACTGACGCGGGAATAACTGTGCTGTGAGCCAAATGCCGAGGGTTAGCAGAGTAACCTCACATGAGAATAATTACTTAACATGACCATGAGAGAAGGCAATGAGGTTCCCAGACACAGGAAATGAAAAGTCAGAAGGGGAGGTAGAGCTGGACAGGGTTCTGAAGCCTTTCCAGACAGCGACTTCCTTATAACAAATAGCAAATTGGCTAATAAATTTATCACCCTGTCATTTTATATGTACATATATTCTTAAGCTAGCTAGTTAGCATAATTTTTTGCAATGTACCTATATCTCACAAATTCCAGAAAAATCAACCTATTTCCTATTTTCTCAAGAGCAAAAAAAAAAAAAAATTCTGTGATGAATGTTTATTTTTATATTCCAGATCACTTATAGGTTAATATTTCAATCAAAACTACAGTTACAATTGTGCTTAAAGAATGAATATTGCACAGAAATAGTTAACACAATGCCTGAACCATGAGACAAGAACTCTTTACCCCTAGAGACAAAGGGAAGTGAAAAACTATCTTGTTGTTATGTGCTGCTCTGCTTCCCACGAGCTTCTTGCAAATTTATGGACCCTGAGACATTCTGATTTTCAGAAAAAAAGGTAGAAATTCAATAAACTCAATAAGCAGGTCTGCTTTTAGATCTGGAATTGCATGGGAGAAAAACATTCTAACAGAGGCAACTACAGTACATTTTCTTTTTTTACTCATTTATCAAATATCTTTAAAGCTGGGCACAGGAGATACAGTAATAAATGAGAATGATGGTAGCACACCTCAAAGAACTTGCAGACAGGCCAAGAAGCTGGCAAATACAATACAGTGTATGTTAAGTGCTAGTACAGGGTTAATAAAGGGGTTCTTGGGATTGGACTAACCCAATTTGGATCATGGATATTTGCGAAAGAGATGCTTAAGCTGAGATTCAAGGAATAAAGTGGAATATTTCAAGGCCAGAGAAGGCCTGAGGAAAAAATATTCCAGGTAGAAGGACCATATTCCAGGTAGAAGGACTCAGATAGGCCAGGTTAGCTGGAGTAGAGAGAGGTAGTGGAAAAGCGTGGAGAGAGAGGTGCTTGCAGAGGAGGCAGCATCAGAGCTACCCTATGGGAAAATTCTAGCTGGAATACAATGTACCAGTGAAGAACAGAGATCTTGGTCAAGGGACACATTTTCTCTCTTAAAATTTAGAGAATTCAGGTTCTTTAGCTAATTTTATGCTTACAGCATGATTCTTGGAGTACATGAGAAAAGTGTGTTTCTATTTGCTTGATGATGCAGTAAAAGGGAAATAGGCTCCTCACATACAGAATTTGGTAGGTAATTTGACTAAGTTGGGGAATAGCATGTGCATACCACAGCTAATGTCTTCTGCCTTGTCTATAAATGAAGAATCCCTTTGACAAATCATCATCATCACCACCCCCACCACCCGTACCATCATCATCATTTTAATTTGAATATCTCAGATTAATCTGATTTGAAGTTAATTGAAGAGTAAAGGCCCTTGTCAAATCAAATCATAACAACAAGCATTACTGAACATCTACTATGCTTGAGGTATCTAATCTGTAAGTTGTGACAATTTATTTTTAAGACACAAATTGCTGTGGTGATTCGATATGTCAAGAAGCAACTTTTGTTAAAGCTGCCCTAGAAGGAGGGATCCCAGTTGCACAAGATGTCAAAAGCTGTGTGAACACTGAGATAACTGGCTCTCTGTGGATGTCTCTGGTTTCCACATTGTTCAGATCCTCTGCCAGAGCAACATATTGAGAGTCTTGATTTTTCATTGCAAAATATTCCTGGTAATTTCATGCATAAATAGGATTTGTTTATTTTTCATTGTTGTCCTCAATAAAGGGTGGTTGCTTAGGGTAGACAGAATTAGTAATCAACAGAGTCACTGTTGTTCTCACAGATCTGCTTTGTGCCACGTGCTGAGTGGAGACGTGATTTACATGGCATATTATCGATAGCGTCAACTCCCTGCTATGTATGTCAAAAGCATCTGTGGCAAGCTATTGGACTCTACCTCTTGCTTCTCTCCATGGCCACCATTCTAATCGTCTTTACTCCATCTCTCTCATACATACATTTACCCACATTCTTGTTTCTGTGTAAGAGGAGAAGTACAGTGAAATATGGAAGTATCTGGGTGTACATAGGGCAGGGCTGTTTTCCTGAAGCTACATGGTGCCAAGCCTTGGCTCATGCACAAATATCATTTTTAGGGCTTCCACTCTATTTAAAATGATAACCTGTCTCCCTACAGACAACCTCTGTGGCATACATGTAATCTCATGAATCATTAAATAATAAAATTATTAAATTCTATACTTTTCATCAATTTTGTCATCTAGTATTTTTGGTTCTCTACATGGAGACAATGTTTTAACTATTTTGCCATTCTAACAAATGTAAATGTCCTATATACAGATTAATTTACTTGGCCAAGTTTTTATTCTTGAAAATTTAAGATATCAGATAATGTAACTTCCTGACAAATTGAATTCATCAGCAGTATGGGTTATAAGCTTGGGTGTATGAAAAGTCTGCCAACTCCTTTCCCTTTCTCCTTCCTGCTTTTGTCAATCTTCTACTGCAATTAGTAATATTATCTTTTTTTTGAACAACTGAAAATCAGACTTATCCCTTGATAATCTTGGAAATAGCTTTTCTTCACACACTACCATTTGCAAGGCCATTGTGTTTGAAAACCAAGAAGACAACTGGCAGTCATTGGCTTGCCTTGGTTCCTTCTGCTTTGTATTTTACTTTCTTAGATTGCTGACTTTCTTTTATCATCAGGTTTTGTGTGTGTGTGTGTGTGTGTGTGTGTGTGTGTGAGTGTGTCTAACAAGGGCTAGAGGAGCTTCTTTTCATCTTTTGGGTTTTTTCTGTTTGATGCAACATATATAATTCTAGGCCTAACTTATTTTTCAAACTAGGATCTCTAAGTGCTTCAGCAGCAGCAATTCGGTGACTATATTCAGTCTCTCTGAGAATGTTATATAGGGCAAAGAATGTTCCTTGTGGGTAGTGATAGCATTTTGACAGAGCTGAGCCATGCATGTTGGGAATTAGTAGGAAGGAAGTAAACTATGACTAGAGTGCGGAGGGCCTTGACTGCTAAACATGGGGGACGAGGAGGACAGATGGGAGCTCCTGGGTGCTTTTGTAGAAGCAGTAGCACTTGACAAATGGAAGCAAAGTCCAGGATTTGTTGTGGGGAAGAAGCTCTGAAGATATGGAGATCAATTAAGAAATTAAGAAATTTCTGACACTTCAGGTGTGGAATGACCCCACCCCACCTTCCGTGCCACAGGCCATCCAGAGCCACCAAGCATCAGCTACATGGGTTACTGACATCAGAAACAGCCCAGCTGTTTGATAGCTGTTGCATTACTTTTCAGTTGTGTTTTATATCACATTGATCTATGAAACCTTTAAGTACAATTTTTTTCAAAGTGAGAGAAAGGGAATAAAACATAAATAGGAAGAATATCATGCCTTCTTTTTCTTATAACATTATTACAGTGTAATCAGCAATTCTAGCTTGCCTCAGATAGTAATACAATCTTTAAATAGTCTACTTCCACTTATGCTGACTCTGATATGACTCAAAGCAATGTTGTCTGTCTGGAGACACCTTAGAACTGAGCATAACAGCAACTGAGAGAGTGGATGATGAGAAATTTCTTAGTGGGTACAACGTATGTTATTCTGGTGATGGATACCCTAAAATCCCTGACTTCCCCACTTTGCATGTAACAAAACTACACTTTTACCCCCCAGATTTATACAAACTAAAAAATAAAAGCTATTAATATAATTGGTAAACACAAAAATATGTGTGGTTCAAAACTCATCTTTCTTCGATATTTTCAACTTTGATAAATGGTTGAAAGTATTGAGCATATTCGATACTTTCAACCATTTATTCTTCTTTCAACCTGATCCTCTTAATACTGAGGGAAATAAAGAAGGTTCATGCATCGCTTTAATTGAATATTTTCCAATTGTATGCATTATTTTCATAGCTACATAAATGTAATATTAAAGTTAGATAGACAGCTGCTACCTTGCCTTGCAATATAAAAGTAGTGAACTTGACAAGGTTAGAGGAATCTACAGGTTTGGTATGTGAGAGACTCCAAAGCACCAAAATTTTACTATGGGAGGAAGCTATGGGGAAAAGGGATGGGGGCCTGTAACTCACATTGCTTGGAAGGATCTCTTGACTATCCTGGTTAGAAGTCAGAAGAATAGCAACATGTATGGTCTCCTGACCTACAGAAGACGCTGACAGAAAGATGTGGAGATTGCTCCTAAATATTGTGAGTCTTTTTAGCACACTCCAATGCTTTTTTGTCTTTTTCTCTGGAAAAAGACAGAAATAACTAAAGAGTATTCTTTTTTAGCCTAAAAGGTTTACTTTCTAAAATTAATGATGGTTAAATGACTCACTACACAAGTTTTAGAAAAATAGGAATTACACAAATGTACTCCCATGATGTAAAAATACCAAATGGTCCACATTATTTAGAACTACAGTAAGGTATACAAAGTATTGGATTCCCAGGATGGGAGAACCATATGTTCAAATAAGAATGTGTTAATTTTTATTCATTGTTAGGTGAATGTAAAAGTTTTATTTGTATTTTTACCAAGTTTGGAGACATTCCAGATGATCTGACTTAAAATGTTGCCATGAAATAGAAAAGAAGTTTAGTCTGGTGATTGGCAGTAGCACTTCAAAGAGATAAGCAGGTATCCTTCCCAGCAGTTGTGGGTATTGATTTTCTAAGAGGCTGCTTAATCTACATAGTGTGCTTCAGGGTGAACAGCAGCAAGGAGTTATTAATTCAGAGATGGTTAATCATTTTCTCGAGCCATGACGGGTTGGTTCACTAGTTGATAAGCATGAATAATCAATGTTTGATACTACACACTGTGATGTAGTATCAAAGAGTTAAAATTTGAATTTTCCAATTTATCATTAAAGAGAAATGTCAGGAGAAAGTCACGTTGTTGTGTGCATATAGTATTTCATAAAAAGAAAACTTTTTAAAAGAAAAAATTAAAGTTATATAGCATATGCTAAACATTTCAAATCAATTATGCATTTTCAATTTTGCATCATAGTTTGGTTCTAAACTCCTATTTTAAGCTCTAATAGAAAACACATGTATTTATGCTATCCTGTGGAAAGATATGATAATTTTTTGATTATTTGTTCTCTAATCTCTCCAATGTTGGAAACAGTGTATTGGTATAATTTTGGGAAGATTTATTTGTAATGTCAAAATTGTAACCATTGTTTTTATCTATATTTCCATTCTACCCATTTTTCTGCTAGGGTAATATAATTTAACCACAGCTTAAGTGTACTTATTGGAAACTGAGAGATTACTGTTTTACTTAAAATGTGTTATATCTTCAATTGAGAAAACTTGCCATTTAAAGTAATATTTCAGAATATTACCTCTTAGAATAGTTGCTTTCTATGCATGTACATAGAAGAAAAAACAAGACTGAGAAAAATACTTTTCCTGGGTTTAGCATAAACACATTTCATAAAATCTGGCATAGATCAGGCCATTTCATTTGAATTTTAGTACATTTGAATTCTTGCAGCAATTCTTCCTTCACAACAAGTAGACCAAATATGGAATATCTAATTCCTTTGGCTTTAGTTTGTTTTGGGACTAAGTAGTCTCTGATAGTTTGGATGTCTGTCCCCTCCAAATCCCATGTTGAAATGTAATCCCCCACGTTGGAGGTAGGAACTGGTGGGAGGTGTCTGGGTCATGGAGGTCACAGATCTCTCATGAACGGCTTGGTGCTGTCCTTGCGTTAGTGAGTGACTCTCGAGATATCTCGTTGTTTGAAAGTGTGGTGCCTTGCCCCTTTCTCTCTTGCTCCTGCTCTTGTCATGTTATGTGCCTGCACTCCTTCCCCTTCTGCCATGATTAGAAGCTTCCTGAGGCCGTCACGAGAAGCAGATGCTGGAGCCATGCATGTGCCCCCTGCAGAACCGTGAGCCAATCATCAAATCTCTTTTCCTTATAAATTACCCAGCCTTTTTTTTTTTTTTTTTTACACTAGCAATGTAAAAATGGCCTAATACAGTCTGTGAACAAGGTGATCACAGACTGGTTAGTTATCTTCCTCTCTCACTGAGCACTGACTTTGTTGTGTTTGTCTTTGGTTCCTTACTGCTAAGCTCAGGGGTGGGTGGGCACACTGTGGGTGCTTGATAAATGCAGACTGAAGAAATGAAGAAGACCGAGGAAACCAGGCCAGTTTTAAATGGTTTTAGTTAGTAATGCTGCTCAGCAAGGTCAACACCGGCCTGCTATCATGTGGACCCTATTATCTCTAAGTCACACAAATCACCTGGAAAAGCCAGGATGCCCTTTTTCTTTAATCATTAATCTAGATAGTCAAAATAAAATCATTACCATTCATTTTTGGCTGGACTATAGATATCTGGCTTCAGAACAGCATCATATTCAACAGGTAACTAAACCTAGGGATATGTTTATTTCAAGTATTTTCTGGGTTCAGTAGCTCTCACCCTGGAAATTGTATTTCATAAAAATCCAGGGATCTTGCCAGGACTGCCTGCCCAACCAGCAAGCTCAGGGCTGGCATGAGAATCCAAGTCATGAAACTCCATGATTTTGAACTTCATCTCTGAAATATTATTTTGTTACAATTAAGGTGGAAACTAAGTATAACATAAGACAGATAATAAAATTTCAAAATCTTAAAACTAGTAATTTGAAGATAGCAGAAATAGCTCTCAGTAAAAACACAGATAAAATTCCAAAAGTCAGAAAAGTCTGCAGCAACTCTCCATGTGGAATCAGAGCATGGATTTAAACCTGAAAATACATTTGTGGTTACTTCCTACCTTAAATACATTGATAGGGAGATCAATGACCACATAGATAAGGTCTCCAAGGGCAAGGCTGGCTATCAGCGCGTTGGGGCCATTCCTCATACATTTGTTCTGGTAAATGATCCTGAGCAGAGTTGCATTCCCCACCATTCCCACGATGAAAATAGTACAAGATATCACAGTGTTAATGTATTTGAAAGCTGAAGTAATTTTAGTCTGCTGTGGGCAATAGTTGTGCATTGAGCCATTGCTGGGTAGGACCAAATTTGTGGGTTGATGAGTGGTAACCAGGAAGCTGAGTGCTGTGCCACGAAATGTGGTGAAATCATCCACATGATTGCTTAGATTTGCGCTGTATCTCTCAGGATTATCACTGATTACACATCCAACCAGTGCCAGCCAAAAGGATGCCCTGAGGCAAAGGGTTTCCATCTTGAGGCAGATTTGAGGAAATATCTTGTATTGTACTTGTGCTGCTTTTACACCTTCACTTTTTTTTTTTTACCTGAAACGAAAGGAAAAATAATTTTTGTTATAAAATCTGGTTGCCAAAACGATCATAGTCGATGATTATTTATTGATTCGATTAAAATGCAGGATATATTTGGTGATTAGGTAAGATACATGTATAGCAGATTACCCTATGGCAGAGCAAAATCAGAAAAAAACCAAAGCTCCATTAGGGCAAGATCTGTCTCCTCTATGTCAGTCTCCATCTCCTTCTCCATCTCCATCTCCGTCTCCATCATCTCAATCTCCATCACCTCCATCTCCATCTCCATCATCTCCATTATCTCCATCATGTCCATCATCTCCATCATCTCTGTCTCCGTTTCCATCTGTCTCCATCTCCATCTCCATCTCCCTATCTCTATCTCTATCTCTATCTCTATCTCTATCTCTCTCTATCTCTATCTCTATCTCTGTCTCTATCTCCATCTCTAGCTCTGTCTCCATCTCCCTATCTCTCTCCATAGCTATACTTGTATCTACATCATAATATGGACGAGCCTATGTCAATTTTTCCTTGAAGTAGTAGTTACAGCTCATTCAGGCTGATAAGAGCCTGAACAACAAAAATCTTCAAGAGTTGAGATACAAACATATTTTTTAATGTAAGAGAAAATGCATTATATGCTAAGTAAAGGGGACAGAGTATTGAGGCATAAAATAAAATTACCAGATTTAAAAATGGAATCTTCTAAAATGTGTGCTGTCTTGCATATGGTAAATAATGAACACAGGAATAAAGTGCGGCACAGGTAGCCATCTAAAGTGCTACGAGATGTTAATCAGAACTCTGGTTAACACCATTAATTCATCTAACAATATTAGTTTCAACTAAAAATGAAAGAATTGATAAAAACAAAATATTTGTTTTGGGAACCTTGATGTTTAATATATAAAATCTACATTTTCTACAGGAGTTTTTTTTTTGCTTTTTCATTTCTCAGAAATTATCACAGTATGGTATTTGTTGATGAATGAAATGGGAATAATGAACTTTCCCAGGCTAGTTATAGTATTTAGTTTTCCAAGGGACATCTGTCCCCTTGCTATCTTTTAACCATCCTATATAGCTACATTTACTATATGCCAGTCACTGTGTTCAATACTATATGTGCATGATGCCCTGTAATCCATACAATGGTCCTAGATACATGGTTCCATTTTGAAGGAAAGGAAACAGAGGCCCAGGAAGGTGAAGCAGCTTGTCAAGGTCACAGGTGGTAGGTGATAGTGCTGTGATTCTAAGGCAGGTCAGTACAACTCTGAACCAGAGCTGTTAACCGCTAAACCATCCTGTCTGTCATTCTCATGCTTTATTTGTACCTAAAATATTTTAAAGAAGTCTCCAGAGTTAAGATGAAGCAATAGACTTAGGAGGATGGTTAGACATTTTCAAAGACCGTCTGCTGTGGTTATTTATTTATTTATTTATAAGTCACTCGCAGAGAGCTAGTGGTCCTTCCTGTCCAGGAAATTTAGGAGACCTTTAATCCTTAAAGAAAAGCCATTGAGAAAATGAGGGAGGTTAGGGTAATGAAATGATCAAAGATAATTAAAAATAGCCCCTCCTATTTCAATATTTTATATATTTCCTTTTCTTTCTTTTTTTTATTTACCCCAGAGAAATGAAAATATATGTCTCTTAAAGACCTATACAAGAATGGTCACAGCCACTTTATTCATAATAGCACAGAACTGGAAATAGCACAGGTGTCCATCAATAGAAGGATAAACTGTGGTATATTTGGATAATAAAATACTATTGAGAAATAAAATGGAGTAAACTAATCATGTACACAACAACATGGGTGAATGTCAAAAGCATCATACTAAGTGAAAGAAGCCTTGCATAGAATCAGTACAAAAGAGTATATACCGTATGATTCCATTTATACAAAGTTCTAGAACCAGAAAAATAAATCACTGGTGAAAAAATTAGAGCCATGATTGCCAGAGAGGAATTGACTAGAAAGAGAAATAAGGAAACTATGTGAAGTGATAATAATAGCATATACCTTGCCTAGGGGCTTAAATGACGGGTGTATTAATTTTTTAGAACTTAGTGAATGTACACATAAAGTTTGTACATTTAGTTACAAATGTGTGTAAATTTTCTTCAAAAGGAAAAAAAAAACCTGAGCAAATATCAAACTCTAGCCAATGACATATTTAGGGAAGAGCATACTAGTATTTTAAATTTACTTTGAAATGTATTAAAGAAAAAGAAAGATTTATGGATGGATAGAGAAATGGATGAATAGATATGTGATTTCTAACTGTTGGAGTATATACAGTTCATTGAAAAAAATTCTTGCAACTTTTCTAAATGTTGTAAAATTTTCATAATAAAAGAGCAGGGAAAAATTGTGTTGGCATTTGTGTTTCTAAAGATGGCTATCCATGTATGTAATTCTGTTGTTTGGTTAGAAATTGTACTGGGACTTATATATTTCCTTTTCTGTAGGCTTTCATGAATCTTCAAATGAAGACATAATCTGATTTATGCAATGATGTGTGTATGTGTCTGTGATGTATATACCCAGGTCATAATTTAACCTTAAAAAAATTGAGTTCTGGCTGGGTGTGGTGGCTCATGCCTAAAGTGTTATAATGATAGCACTTTAGGAGGCCAAAGCATGAGGATTGCTTGATCCCAGGAGTAACTGGGCAACTTAGTGAGACTCCATCTTTACAAAAAATAAAAAGATTAGATGCTCATAGTCCCAGCTACTTGGGAGGCTGAGGTGGGAGAATTGCTTGAGCCCAGGAGGTTAAGCCTGCAGTGAGCTGTGATCGAGTCATGGCACTCCATTCTGAGTAGCAGAGTGACACCCTGTCTCAAAAAAAAAAAGTTAAAAAAAATCGAGTCATTTTTTAGGAATTTTGACAATTATCTCGGGAAATCAGTAAAGCTTAGGTTTGGCCAATATGAGGATAAAACAAGATTTATTCAAGTTATATAGAAAGTATATTTATTCAAGTTATATAGAAAGGGTAAATATAAAGTTCAAGTATCACACACTTTTGCCTTCCCCAGACATTTCCCCACCAAATCTGAAATAAAAATAGTATTTATACATAGTAACTTATTATATATGTATCTGTTATCTGCCTTGAGCTTTATGACTCTAGGAAGGCAGGAGCAATATCTCCATTTACTTATAAGGAGACCAGAGTCTTGAAGAAGTTACATGTTTAGCTCAAGGTTTCAAAGCCAAGAAATGGCAGGACATGTAACTTTGCTTATAGGACTTGACTCACTCTGATTAAATGAGAACAAATATCAATGTTTCAAGGCTAGAAGCATGCCATGTAACTGTCAGCTCTGACTAGACTTAATTATAAACAATTTGCAGTTTTTTCCTGCTTCTTATAGTTTGGAGTGAGTATCTGGCTGAATATTGATAGACCTATGAAATGCCACTATTTCCATTCCAAAGTGAAGACCAGGACTCCAAAGAAAACCTTCTTGTCATCCACCTCTTTGGATCACAGAGTTGGGGGGAGAAGAAATACTTTCATATCTGGTGCTGTTGAGTGACTAATGTCTTCCAGCTTCCCAACTGAAAGGGAACCTTCAATAACAGTTTTCTTAAAAATGAGAGAGAAAAGGCCTTTTCCAGCTCTCAGCTGATTACAGTCAGCTGGGAACTGACCTGGCTACAGTGGGTACTGCTCTACTCGTCAGAAGTCCCATGGTGCTTTGAATGTTAAGCATTGCTGGTCTGCTCCATTAGCTGATTATGGAAGGGGGTAAGGCCAACACTGTGGGTCCTTTTTTTCTTTCTTTCTTTTTTTTTTTGTTGAGATGGATGGAGTCTCACTCTTGTCACCCAGGCTGCACTGCAGTGGCACAATCTCAGCTCACTGCAACCCTCCTGGGTTCAAGCTTTTCTCCTGCCTCAGCCTCCTGAGTAGCTGGGATTACAGGCACCCACCACCACACCTGCTTAATTTTTGTATTTTTAGTAGAGACGGAGTTTCACCACGCTGGCCAGGCTGGTCTCGAATTCCTGACCTCAGGTGATCCGTCAGCCTAGGCCTCCCAAAGTGTTGGGATTATGGGCATGAGCCACCATGCCTGGCTAACACTGTGGGTTCCAAAGCCATGAGCCGGCTACTGTTAAAACCCCCTTCTTTCCTCCTCCAACAATGACACCACCACAGAAATTACTTCTGATGACTTCTCTGTCAGCTCTCCACACATGTTAAGCTGCAAAACTAAGGGATACCTGGCAAAGGCATGTGGATGCCGTATTATCATTGGGTGAAAAGTACAAAACCAAATGAAAGAAGCCCATCAACTGCAGGTTCTTCCAAGGTGGGGCTGTAGCTCATTTCCAGGAATCTGAGTCAGACTGTGCTTTGAATCATCAGTCATCATCAGTCATAGCGCTAGTGAAGCATCTCAGGTTCAGACCTGAAGGGCATGGTCTATAGATTCAGCACTCTTCCTATTTGGGGTCTGAGAGTTTGGGGAGTGCAAAAACTATGATTAAGAAAGAGGACCTAATCCTTATGCTTACACTTTAACCATTTAACATATGAGATCTTCAGAGTAAAAGTTCACCTGTAATTGGTAATTTGGAAATTCAGACCTTATCAAAATGGCATGAGTTTAGAGCATTTAATTTTCATGAAATGACTGCCAAGGTGTTTCTCAATTAGCTAACACATAGACAACTCCAGGTGGAGGAAAAAAACAAGTAAACTAGGAACTTTTTACAAGTTTTCTGTGGTTTTGCTCTCCGGTTAAGGAATGAGCAACTTTCCTTAGAGACAACGCCTGACTTCAGTATGCCTCCCGCCCCCAAGTCTATCAGGGGAAAGCCATTAGGATGATGTAAACAGAGGGTGATTATCTAGAAGCAGCCCTTGTTTTCTGCACGTGAGAAGCAACAAGTGTCCTTTAAAGGCGACCACAGAACAAAATGCCCAGACCTCCACAGGCTGGTTTCCAAAACTAGCTACACTGGGGGTTTTCCCAAACACCTCAGTCCCTCACGCCGAGTGCCCTTGGCTACCCTTGGCTACCCTTGGCATATCCAGACCCAGATGTGGGGGAGGAAAAGCAAGCGAGTGAGAAAAGGCTGTGGAGCCAACTTCACAACCAGGCTCTGGAGCAAGCCACAGAGCTTGGTGTTCCTTAAAGTTCTTGCACGCCTGGGGAAAAGGGGACACCCAGGGAAAACTATTGGGCTTCCTCTTCCTAAAAATCCGAATCCTAAACCCTACAAGTGGAAAGGTGAAGTTCCCCAAACCCCACACGCTCCGGGAGCGCACCTCTCACGGAAGGCGCCCACCTCCCCGCGCGCCCTTGGGCAGGTAGGTGCCAGTCCCTGCTGCGGCGGGTCGCCCAAGCTGCTGGGCGGTCGGGCCAGAACGTTCCCGGCTCTCGACCGAGGGGCCCAGGCAGCGTCTCCGCCATCCCTGTACCCGCCCCAGTCCCAGCCCCAGCCCCTGATAGGAAAGACTTGCACCGACCGTGGAGCTCGGCGGCCGCAGACAGCTGCCGGGTCGGCTCGGCGCCTGGGCCAGAGGAAGCCGGAGCCGGCGAGGGTGGGTGGCGCGGAGGGTGGCCGATGTCCCGGGCTCCGGCGTGGCGGCGGCTCAGGCTGCACAGCGACCCCGGCTTCAGAAAACTTCCTGGGCACTGCTTCTCCGGGAGAGGTCTCGCTGAGCCCCCAGTTCCCGGCGACGACCGGGTGGGATGGATGAAGCCTCTCCACCTCCTCTCCACAATCGCCAGGCCCCCTGGATGACTGTACGCGCGCGCAAGGGCTCACAAGAAAAAGAAAACTCTGGAGGAACACGCCTCCAGTCTTTCCTCCCCGTCTCCTCCCAAAGCTTCAGACCTTCCACTCCACTCTAGGACCGCAAGAGCGTCCTAACCTTCCAGCTGTCCTGGGACGCAGCCACTAAAAAGCACAAAGTTGCTGCCCCCTTCCAGGCCCTGAAGGGCAAGAGTCTTTTTAACTATTTCCTTCCCGAAAGAAGAGATAGGGGGATGTGGAGGAGAGAGGGTAGAGTTTAACAGACAAGACTCAGAATTCCGAAAGGCCTTGCAGAGGAACCCCTCTTCTTAGTGCAGGCAGATTTGCTCTGTGATGAACAACTGGACTCAGAGCCATGGCCCAAGGGTGGTTTCTTCTCCGTGTTCCCTGCCCCCTTTGCTTGACTTGCGTGCTCCCTCGTACAACTCGTAGAGGCAGTTGAGGAGCTGAAGTGGACAGCAGTTTACTGGATCAGGTGGTTTGCTTCTATCTTGTCCCTTGTAGCCAGTGTCTCAAAGCTCCAGACCTCCAGCCCAGGGCAAAGAGGGCGCCGTAGGAGAGTCTATGCAAGGTTCCAGAGTGTGGATCCGTGAAACCTCAAGAAATTCAATCAGTGTGGAAGCAGACCTTATGGAGAGTGGGTCTCTACATCTTTATCATGGAAGAGACTTTATCCTAACTTGGGGGTAGGAGAGGAGATGAGGGACAAAGGCCACTGCCTGTGACAGGTGAGTGAAAACTGGGGGCTCCTCAGGTAAGGTCTGCCTTGGAGTCCTTCAGTGCACTGCTAGAGTCAGCATATTGTAGAAATGTGAAGTTGGAGCGCAGGTCACTTTATATCCCATACTGTTTGGGTTATCTGTTGCAGCCAAACAAATCACTATAAAATGTAGTGACTTAAAACAACAACACTCATTTACTCTGCTTATCAGTCGGCAGATTGGGCAGAGCTTGTCTGGGACAGCTCATTTTTGCTCCAGGTAGTGGGGGCTGGAGGATCTACTTCCAAGGTAGTTCACTTGCTTGGTGTTGAGTGTTAGTTTTTCTCCATGTGTGTTTCTCCACAAAGACTTGTGGAGACTTGTGGTTTGGGCTTCCTCACAGCATGGTGGCAGGGATCCAAGAGTGAATGTCCCCAGAGACAGAAAGTAGAAGCTGCCACTTTCTTAAGGGCTGGGCCTGGAAACTGGCACTGTGTCATTTCTGCTCTATTCTATTAGTCAAGCAGTAACAGATCCCAGATTGAAGGTGAGGGTATATAGAGCCCAACTCTCAATTACAGATCCCAGATTGAAGGTGAGGGTATATAGAGCCCAACTCTCAATTACAGATCCCAGATTGAAGGTGAGGGTATATAGAGCCCAACTCTCAATTACAGATCCCAGATTGAAGGTGAGGGTATATAGAGCCCAACTCTCAATGTAAGGAAGTGTCAAAGAATTTAGGGACTATTTTGTAAAACCATCAAAGAGATCTACAGAACACCACCATTGAAAGAATCCTTCAGTGCACGTAACAGTCATCTAGTAGGATTAGACTAGGTATTACCTTGTGTATTAATCTTACAGCTTCTCTATGAGGGAGAATCAGCCAACCAGAATAACTAATAGTTTTTTAAAGTGGCATTGTTTACGTTAAAAAAAGGTGACCCTTTGGGCATGTGGCTTGGCCAGCTGACAATATTTTTGGGAAAGAAATGTTATTGCTTCCTCCCAGAAGATGCAGTTCACATCTTGGCCTGTGAAATGTGTGCTGGATTTCAGCCCTTACTCACTCTGCGGCCAGGCACACTTGGACAGTGCATCCCCTGCATATCTGAATGTGTCAGTCTGTCCAGTCCTTGTTAGAGTACACCCATCTGACCCTACCTCTTAGGACAGCTGCTCTCACTGTGTTGTAGGACTAGTTACTAAAAATTCTTCCTTCACACCTATTAGGATGGCTATGATAGTAAAACAAAAGCAAAAACAGCAAAGAACAAGTGTTGGCAAGAATGTTGAGAAATTGGAATCCTTGTGCATTGCCAGTGGGAATGTAAAAAATAGTGTAGCAGCTGTGGAAAGCAGCATGGCGGCCCTCCAAAGATTAAACATAAAATTACTATATGATCCAGCAATTCCACATTTGGGTATTTACCTAAATAATTGAAAACAGAGACTCAAACAGATATTTGTACACCCATGTTCATGGCAGCATTATTCACAAAAGCCAAAAGGTGAAAACTAGCCAAAAGTTGGAAACAATCCAAATATCCATCAATGGAAGAATGAATAAACATAATGTGGTATAAACATGTATGTATATGTATATGAATATGTGTACATACAACGGAACATTATTCAGCTTTAAAAAAGAAAGAAATTCTGATACATGCTACCACATGGATGAACATTGAAGATATTATGTGAGCCAGATACAAAAGAAAAGAGATATTTTATGATCCCACTTAGATGAGGTACCAGAATAGTTAAATTCATAGATACAGAAGGTAAAATAGTGATTACCAGGGGCTTGGAGGTGGCGAGGGAAGAATGGGGACTTACTGTTTCATATGTTTCAGAGATGTAGTTTGGGATGATGAAAAAGTTCCAGTGATGGATGGTGGTGATGGTTGCACAACAATGTGAATTACTTTACGCCAATGAACTGTACACTTTGAAATGGTTGAAATGGTAAATTTATATTATGTATCTTTTACCCTGACATCAAAATAAATTCCTCCAGACATCAATATGAAATCTGCCTCTATACATTACCTGTTGATCTGCGCTCTAAATTCATGAGTTTACTACCTCTTTTAGGATCTTTAAATATAAATAAGTGTGTTTATGTGAATTATCAGCCTTTGTAAAAGAATAGGATTGCCTCATTCTAGATGAGAACAACATGAATGTCCTTTGGTTGTTGGAGATTTATATCCTCATTTTCTCCGCTTTACTTGGGGAAAGTGACTTCAGTGGACTCGAAGCAGCTTTTAGTCAAGTTAACTTTACCTCCAGTTATTCCTCTCCCCACAGATAATACTTTATATACTTGCCCTAACTCTGTATTCCATGCTGTGTACTTCCAAAGAACATATAGTTAATGTATTTGACTATTTTTCAACTTGACTTCCAAGGTTATTTCTTTCCCCTGGAAAGTGGGTTGGATGTAGATTTGCAAGTCTTCTGGGTTTTGGGGAAACTATCCTGATCACACTTGACTTCTGGTTCAAGCAGCTCACTAAATGGAGGATTACTGTAACGACATTCTCTTGGCATCATGTTAGTATCATATCGATTTCATGAACAATAATTGCTGAAGATTAAGAAGTACTCAACATAGCACTTAAAAACCATTTTCATGTGTCCTTGGGGCAAATGTTCCTCTGAATTTAAGTTTCTTGATTCAAATTTGCAAATCCATTTTATAGTTGCTAACTCCCAAGATCCTCAAACTTGAAATGTAATAGTGGTTTTGAGTCTCACAGTATTTGCTAGAGATGCTGTGTTCATGGTTAAGCTCTCTGGGAGAAATAAAACATGAAGGTTTCAGAGAATAACCACAGAGATAAAGAAAGGCTAGAAAGCGGCTTGGCACGGTGGCTCATGCCTGTAACCCCAACACTTTGGGAGGCTGAGGTGGGTGGATCACGAGGTCAAGAGATCAAGACCATCCTGGCCAACATGGTGAAACCCAATCTCTACTAAAAATACAAAAATTAGCTTGGTGGCACATGCCTGTAGTCCCAGCTACTTGAAAGGCTGACGCAGGAGAACCGCTTGAACCTGGGAGGCAGAGGTTGTAGTGAGCTGAGATCAAGCCGCTGCACTCAAGCCTGGTGACAGCCCATCTCAAAAAAAAAAAAAAAATAGAAAGGCTAGAAAGAAGCTGGTTGTGAGGGGAAAGGCAGAGAAATGTATGTCAGAGACCTGAAACTGCCACTGCAGTCTTCACACGGGTTAGTGCTGTGGCCAAGACTATTGGCAGCAAATATCACTTGCCTGGAGATGCAAAGACAAACCCGGTTAGTTGAAGATCCATTTTTAATTAAAACTGATGACAGGCAGTTTGTTCTCAAAGTAAGCACAGTCACGTGCCACATAACATTTTGGTCAATGGCAGAGCACACGTGGTTCCAAAGGATTATAATACCTAAGTTACAAGAGATTTGAGAAATATGCTTTTAAAAAAAGAAAAAAGGATTATAATATTATTTTTTTAATCATACCTTTTCTATGTTTATATATGTTTGGATACACAAGTATCATTGTGTTACAACTGCCTACAGTATTTAGTACAGTAACTTGCTGTACAGGTCTGTAGCCTATGAGTAATAGGCTATCCCACACAGCTTAGATGTGTAGCAGGCTCTCTCACCTAGGTTTGTGTACGTATACTCTATTATGTTCACACAATGATGAAACCACAATTCTCAGAACATATCCTCATCATTAAGACACATGACTGTACTCCAAAATTAATCTGTAGATGAGCTGCTGGAGATTCTAAAGTGTCTATTCATTGCAACCGTGGTTTAATACAGGTTATCCCATTAAAATATATTTAATATATTATGTAGCCCAAAGTTTTTTTTAAATTGCTAGTGGCCCCATTGGAGAGCTGAAAAATCAATCAATCTTAGCATTCCTAATGATGGGGTAACCAGATATTAAGTGTACACTGATCAAATATTGCATCTATTTAAAAATGTTTCAGTTGAATATAATCAGGTTGTTAGCTGTAAATTTCAGTTTACAGCAAAGATAGGGAATAGATGAACAAGGTAAACAAATACCATGGGAATGCAAATAAACAAATCCAGAAGTTATAACATTACAGGGCAATTAGCCTGTCTCTTCAACAAGTCAAGCAATGAAAGGATATTTATCTTTTTCTAGATTGAAAGAGATTTAAAGGAACACAACATGCAGTTGTGGTGTTCTGGATTGGATCCTGGTTTGGCTAAACCAACTATAAAGGTCCTTTACTTTTTGGGGTGGGTCAGCTGAGAATATTTGGATTTAGATTAGGTACTAGAGGCTATATTAATTGTATTAAATGTGAAAATATTATTTTGGATATACAGAAAATGGTCTTATATTTTAGAGATTCTTTTGGGGGAGATATAACTTACTTTTAACTACCAAGGGACAAATGAAAGTGACATGAGTTAAAAAAAAGTGAAAAGTACAATGAAATACAGTGGTGGACAGGCATAAGACAGACATTCCCATTCCAAAGGGAGACACAAGGAGGACCGCAGAACTACTCAGCTGCAAATGTGCATGGGTTATTCTTTAAGAAAAGGGAAAAATGGCCCCAAGGTGATTCAGGGGTTATCACCGATGCCACTGCACCCATTGACCCAGGGAGTGAGGCTGTTTCCACATCACTTTCAAAGAGTGAGATTGCCTCTTGGTTTCCAGCAGGC